TCAGCATCTTAGCTGTAGAAGGCAGTGTCACTGGCCCTCATATGTGGGATCCGAACCAGGGCCCTCTGGCATCCCAAGCCAGCTCTTAACCAACGCGCCACTCGGCCGGCCCTATAAATTTATTTTTACTATGAGCATATATTTATTTTACAAGCCAAGAGAAGGTTAAAATTAAAAAATCTCATGATTCAAAGCAGTCAGCCCCCTGAGTAGCTGTGAACTCTTGGTCCGGAGGAAGGGCTCAGAGCCAGTTCCCTGCTCTGACTGTTTCACCATTGGCAAATCCACCATCTTGTCACTGTTTACAATGAGCTTGCAGTCTTTGCAGACAGAAGGCTCTGTGAGAAGGCAGAGGACTGTCCTGCGCTGCACGATGGCAGTGAGTAGACCTCAGATACGGCTCCGTTCTCATTAGTCTTTGTCAGGATAAATGTCTGGTGGGCAAGGGACTGTGTCTATTGGCCAGAGGAGGTCCTGCTCCGAGTGAGCGGCTGAGCAGCTGTGGCTCCTGGAAATGCAGAGGGACCTTGTCTGCATGCCCTGTGCCGTATCTAACCCTCGTGTGTGCTGCCCTTGTCTAGTTCCAGTGTGACGGCCTGTCAGCCGCCGGAGTCGCTGCCGCAGCCGGGTTTGCAGAAATCTGTCTCCAGTTTACAGAAACCGACACAGTCAATCAGTCAGGAGGTAGGTGCTGGGGACCCCCTCCTGATGGTTGCCCAGGCGTTGGAGCCCCTGATGCTGGGGTCTGGTGGGAGCTGTCACCGAGAAGGGTGGCTTTGCGTGACTTGCTTATACCAGAGGTAAACCTGATGAGGGACTTTGGAAAATGAGCCCAGGAAATTGTCACTGATGAGGTTTCTTAACCTGCAGCGTTTGGAGAAAGACCTCAGAGAGAGTGAGTGGAATGGACACCTAGTGTGGTTCCTGTTCTTACGCAGAGGTGAGGTGCTCAGGTGAGCTGCAGGCTAGGCCAGGGCTCCCCCAAGTGTCCCCATGGAAACCGGTGCCATAAGCAGACAGAAGCTGTTAGGCCACAATGGTCAGGTGAGTTTGAGAAACAAAATTAAGCAGTCTCCATTGCTGTTGTCCTTCTCATCGTCTTTAACACCCCATGTCTTGCCGTGACTCTTAAGAAGAGGACAGAAAGGACAGCAGTTCCCAAATTGACTGGTCCTAGGAAACCTTCTGCATCCATGTCTCTAGGGACTGGTAGTGTCTCAGAACACAGTTTGGGAAATAGTCAGCTATAATCTTTTATTTGTTGATGCATTTAAAGCATTTTTCTAAACAGAAAGTCATGAATTTAATTACGCAAGAGCTCATAATATACTCAGTCCTTTGGAGTCTGTCTGTGTGGGTTACAGAGATCAGCGGGAGGTCATACTTCGCTGGTAGCTAGAAACCTAGATGAGAATTTTGAACCTTTTAGAAGATCAGAAGAAATCTACACACAGATACCTAGCATCCACCAGCTCTCGAAAACAACTTGAACTACCGTATTTAATTTTGTTTTGCTCCCTGGGTGATAGGAAGTCTGAGACATCATCTCCCATCTATGAGGGAAGTTTATAGCTTTGCTGGAAGGACACCCTCCCAACACTGAACTGTGCTTTTGAAATTAAAGAAAAAAAAAATCATACTCACGTGAAACTCCATATTCATTGGCCTAAATCCACTGGGGCCTGTTGACCAGAGTATATAGAGTTGGGTTTATTTGTTTCTCAGAATTTGAAACTCAGTGAGATTGTGGACCTCTGGTTTTTAGGCCCAGGCTGTACAGCAGACTTGCCTTTGGAGCTTGTTGGAAATACAGGTGCCACTGGAGAGCCTGGGTTGGGGTCTGGCGTCTTCTGAAATTGCTCAGGGAACCATCTAAGCGCCCCGTTTTGGGTGGCACAGGTCGTCCGCCTGATGCTCAGCTCTTCCCTGGTGTTCCCTCATATGCAGTTTGTCAGAAGAGACTCCCAATGTTTTCCAGCTTCTTAACCTCACCTCACATCTTACAGCAGTTCTCTTCTACTCTTGGGACAAGTTTGCCAGCAAAATTAGTACCCCCCACCCCCACCCCCAGGCCCTGTCGGTATTCTTTTCCAGTTTAGTGCCTGTGGTGGGGGAGGACAGGGTGTCATCCCTGTGGCTACAGGCACGCAGCGGGAGGCTGTGGCTTGGCCCTGGTGCCCCTCTGATTCCTGCTGGGTCTGGAGGTGCACCCTTCCTTGAGGGACCATCCAAGCCTAGCTGCGCTGCTTCCTTACACGGTCTCATGGGGCGACCTGGGGGCATTCCAGGCCACCGTGTCAAGCATTCAGGGCCACTCCCATCAGTAAACGGGTTATTAGACCTGATCAGCTTCGCAGTGAAGACAAGAGGGCAGCCGTCAGACGTGGTGGTGTTGGCGGCAGGGGGAGGACGGGAAAGGAGGGGTGCACGGGGAAGGTAATGGTTTCACCTGGTATTTGATCCCGTAAGTGACGGAATTGCACTGCTTCAGCTTTGATTTTGTATCTCTACCTTCAGTTGGAAGGGGAAGGCTGTTAAGTTGAATGTTGTTGAGAAAGGCAGATGTCAGTGGTTGGGGACCGAAAGGGGCTTTGGACACAGGCAGGGTGGGGACAAGGCCTAGTCCTGCCTCTCTAGCTGGGTGTCCTAGTCAAGTTCCTCCTTTTCAAGCCTCAGCTGGGATGTGACTAGAACCTTCCCAAGGTAGGGGAGGATCTGGTTAGGCAGGGTGGGCATAGCATAGCAGGATGCCTCGCCCTTAGCTTCAGGCAGAGGTCAGCTGGGAGGACTGAGTTGGAGCCGGGCATGTCCAGATTGGTGGGGGAGGAAGGCCTGTCACCTGGGGAGCTGTCCCTTGTAGAATGAAAGGGGTGCAGCAGCCCATCCAACGAAAGATGGGACACGTTGGCTCTCCCCTGTTTATGTTCCTCTCTTAGCAATGGCACACAGGTTTTGAGAGACATGCTAGAATTAGGATTTGTTCTTTGTCTCTGTAGCAAGACAAAGTGGCTGTGTGTGGGCGGGAGAGGCAACCTGACAGAATGTTCTGGATCGCAGCATGAAGAAGGTGGATGTGGGTTTGAGTCCTGGCTTTGCTGGATGACTGGCTGTGTGACTGAGCTGGCCACTTCCCCACCATCCCGCTCCTCGTCCATAATGTGGGCTGGGCAGTTCCCGATACCCAGGCTGCCGTGCCAAGTGGGGTGCTGCGTGGAAAGCACCCATGGTTGGACGCTGCCCAGCAAGTGGTGGTGGACCTGTCGGTGTGGTGCTTGAAGCTGAGGCGTGGTCTGTGGGCACCTTGTCCTAACTCGCCCAGTGAATGGCTGGCAGACCGACGGGCTGGCTCTCTTCTAATTCTCTTCCTTTTTTCAGAACACAAATTCAGTGCCAGGTGGACCAAAGTCATGGGCACAGCTGAATGGAAAGCCAGTAGGACACGAAGGTGGTAAGTGAGTGTGTGGCGTTGGGGCGGGTGGACAGGAAGGATGTGTATCTTTTCTGGACTGTTCAGTTGGGACGAGGTTGTCCTTGGCCTGAAGCTTTGTGGAGCTGCTGATGGACTGTCTTACCTGAGAGTTAATGCTCTGGGGAGCCCGTGCCTTCGCCCGGGGCTGGACCCACAAACTCTGCAAAGCCTGTCAGCGCTTTGATTTCAGTAGCATCACTGCTAAGACGTGCCTCCTGAGGTGCGCAGAGGAGACCCAGGCGGCTCATTCAGCGGTGCTGCTCATGGAACCGATACCTGCCCAGCCGTGTTGCCGACACGCTTCCACCCCTCTCCTGGGACCACAGGAGGTGGGCATGGGGTGGCCTTAGCTTCGCACCTGGGCCGATAAAACAGCCAGCACTGGGGACCGAGCTGCCTGCTGTGGGCATTAACTGCAGGGCATTCAGAGGGCTGTGTGGCATTTGGTGCCACTGGTGCCATGCCCATCCTCGGAAGCACTCGGAGTCTGTGGTCTGCTGAGCTGCTGCTGCGGTCAGTAGGGGATGGTGAGGGAGACAAGCGGAAGGGAAAGGCGTTTGGAGTTTTAATTGACCAAACAAATGCAAATGGCGTCCAAGTCAGGCCCCCGCTGTTTGGGTGAGGGCCCGAGGGAGCGGTGGGGCCTGAGCAGAGCTTCACCGGGCTCCTGTCCAGTGACTGAGCCCTTCCAGAATGCAAGCCCAGGGTCAGCGGGCCTTGATGAGAGGAGCCCAACATCCAGAGTTTTCTGTGTGGACTCGTCTCATTTTTCAACGTTAGCGCAACTATTTCTAGCCCATTGCACACTGAGCTAGGCGACGCCTCCCAGCCGCAGTGGAGTGGTGGTGGTGTGAGTGGTTAATCCACGATCACCCTTCTGTAAAGCCGCTCGAGCTGCCTCCTACCTGTCCTGGGGTCCCTCTGCCTTCTGTGTATCCAAGCCAGCCAAGCTTCGCCAGGCTTTACCGTCTGTAGCTTATATTAGAAAAATAGCTACATGCATTGTCCCGCCTACCCCGACCTCCCCCGTCCCCAGGCCTAGAGGACGTGCCCCCTCTGGGTTGGGAACACGGTGTGGTTGAAGGCTCTCTCCTTAGCTTCCAGTGGGGAATGACGCATTTCTCATTGTGCCAGAGGAGCTATGGGCACAGCCCCAGTGCTCCCGACTTCCCGGGACAAGGGCTGCTAGGGCCTCGTCCATGATGGTTCCCCAGTGGGGGGAGCAAGGTGAGCCGAGGGGGGAGGAGGGGCTGCAATGAGTCCCCTAAAGCCAGGTCTTTATGGAGGCTTTTCAAAGAGCACTCACTTAGACCGGGGGTTGGCAAACTGCAGCTCGCGAGCCCCAGTTTGCTGACCCCTGGCGGCTCTTCCGTCTCAAAAGTTTGCCAACCCCTGCATTAGACTATTAACAGTGGTTCTTTGGCTTTCTGAAGCCTATCTTTCTCTAAGGTTAGAGTTTTAAGTAAATCAAATGTATTCATTTTTGTTTTAAAATAAACTACAAAGACTAAAAAATAGTGTAAACAGGAGAGCTGTTTCATGCTCCCTATCAAATATTAACACATATCCCCTTTGACCCAGCAGTTCCACTTTGGAGAAATCACCCTATAAAATACATAGCCTGTGTTTGAAATGATATATGCAAGATTATTCGTTACGACATCCTAATAGCAAAAGATGGCAAACAGTCACTTGAGATGCCCATCAAATTTTGATATTTTAATGAAATACTATTTGGCTATAAGGAACAAAAACAGTTTTCTATTGATATGGCAAGATCCCTAGGGTATATTCTTAAATGAACAAAGGCGCAGGATAGTATGTAGAGTATGTTATCATTCATGCAGAAAATGGGTGAGAAGAAAAGACGCTTCTGAAAACTGTGCATTTTTAAAAAGCCTCTGGAAGGAAACATGAGGCAAGAAGGAAGGGAAGAGGCGGGAGAGTACCTGCTTTTTGAGGGCGTTGAAAATGGGCAACTAGGGCACTAGGATGAGAGGAAGGGTTCAGTTCCTGCCTTTTTATGGCTTTTTATTTTGGAACCTTGTGATTACCTATCAAAAATAAAATGATTTAGAATTCTCTGTACAATTCTCTGTAAACATGTGGCAGCTCGTCTGGGAGATGGCAGCCCCCAGTAGCCCAAGAGGAGAGAACAGGCACACGCTGGGCCCAGGCGGGGCTAAAGGGGAACCTGGGTCCCCTCGTGTACTGGGGTCACACGTCCGTGACGCCATCAGGATTTGGGGGTGTGTTGCCCACGAACATTTTCACAAGAGCTGTTCCTGAGCTGATGGACTCTGTCCATGTAGAAGGTAGTGGGCCGGTCTGTTTGACCCGGCAAGGACCCAGGAGGCCTGACTGTGGTTCAGGCAGAGGCCAGAGGTGCATGACCTTGGCTCTGGGGCCCCCAACACCACCCATGGCTCGGTCTGGACCTTAGAAGAAGCCCCTGATTTTACTACCCCAGCTTCTCACAGCAGAGAACAGATGGCACGAGAGATTGGTAGGTGAACATTACTGAGCATTGAAACCTTAGGAATGATACTGTGGTTTGAGATTTGGATTCTACCCTTTCCTGTGGAGAGTAAGTAATTCATGCTTATAGTAATACCTTCGTGCCTGTTGAGGCAGAAAAAAGTACTGGGCATTTGCTGGCTTTTTTTTTTAAAGTTCAAATGATCTACCGTATTTTTAAAGTGTAACTTTCGTATTTCATTCTTGCCAGTTGTTAACATAATGAAGCGACTGTGTGAGTCAGAACCCCCTTCACAGAGCAGTGGGGCTCCTCGGGGCTCTTTGGGGACCATCTCTCAGGCTAATCATTGGAGAATAACGCTATCACCCTGGCAGGTTTTGTTTGACCTTGTTTGACCTTTACTAGGTGGGTGGTGAATGACTGGCGCATCTCACTGATCCCACAGCATCCTTCCGGCACACCTTGCCTTAGCTAACAGGTCCAGGAATCAGTGCCCGGAGTAACACCGAGGGGCAGCTGGCTTTACTGTCTGGGGGGCGAGGCACATCCTAATTGGACTCTGTGCTGTGTGACGTCCCTGTTACTAAGTGCACGCGGTGCTGAGCGTGTGCCATAGGAAAGGACCACATCCCACTCGGACCCTAAAATGCCCCACTTGCTGTTATCTGTTCATCCAGAAGGTGATTTCTGGTCCCAGTGCCCAGTGCCGTGAGGGAGAGGAGCAAAACTAAGAAAAGCCTTCTTCTCAAAAGGAGTTTATAGTGTTGGGGAATGAATGAAAGAACAAAGAAAGAAATTGTTCCCAGGATTACAAGAGTAAAGTGTTTGGCCTGTGGAGCTGGAGGAATTTTGTAGAAAATGGTAAACTGGGAGGGGCAGATAAATGAGGAGGCACTCATGAGTGTAAACAGGGCCCAGGCTTGGGGAGGCTTCGGGTGGGAGCACATTCGGGTGGCATTTCCTCCTCGGGCTGATTCTTCCAAAGAGGGACCTTACCGCCTCCGTCCAGGAGCTGGGGGGGATTCTGGGCTGGAGCAGCCGTTACAGCTTACCTGCTGCCCTGTGTAACCAGCTCCTGTCCGTTAGCTGGCCGGGGGCCCGGTGCAGTCTGCATCCAGGGACCCTGGGAGAGCCCTCGTGGCACCTCTGTCAGCACAGCCGCCAGCGCAGCACGGCGCGCTTCAGATGAGCCTGCGTCCGGGCAGTGTGGCTTTCAGCGTGCGGAGCTGCTGTAGCCCTCACGCGCTCCATAAGTCCCTCCGGTTTTCTTGGCAGGTTTAAGGGGCTCAAGCCGACTATTATCCTTCTCTCCCGAGGAATTTCCGACGCTGAAAGCAGCTGGCGGGCAGGACAAGGCTGGCAAAGAAAAGGGCGTCTTAGATCTGTCGTATGGGCCAGGACCAAGCCTCCGCCCTCAGAGTAAGTGAGCTGCAGCCCCTGGGTGGGCACACGTGATTTCCCCTCTCTCCTTGCCCCCTGAGAAGTGTGCCGCTCCTCAGCCATAGCTCCTGCGCCAGGCTCCCCGTCTGGAAAGCATGGCTGTTGACCTTTTACCTCACCCCTGCATTTGCTGGTCTGGAGATCACTCCTTCCCTGTCGCTGGGTTGGGCCAGGCCTGTCCGCCTGCCCAGCTGTTGTCAGATGTTAGTTCCATGCTTGCGTGGTCGTGGTAAGGACGGACCAAGGGCCACCTAACTCGGCCCCTGATTCAGGGGTTTGTTTTCTAAACCAGCGATTCCTACACCTGGGCTGAACCCTGTCGTGATCACTTGGGGAGTTTGTTAAAAAGTCTGATTTCCAGTCCTCCCCATCCCTGGCCAACTCAGAATCTCTTATTTTTTAACACGTTCCCCTGGGGCTTGTTACGTGGCCTGCCCAGTGCTGGTGTCCATGTCCTCCACCCCCACCCCACCCCCGGGGTCTGGCAAGGAGCTGGCAGGATCCTGTAGCAGTGTTTGCTGGATGTTTTTTCTTAGTGGCCTTGGGTGGTTAGAGATTAAGGTATCGTTAAGGAATGAATTTTTCTATCTGTTCTAACCAGAGATTTGAAATGTCCCTTGTTTTTTGGGGGAGGTGGGGGTGCCTAATCAGGTCTTGAAATCTGAGGCACTTTTGTTGGCTTGTCTTGATTAATCCCCAAGGCGTCCCAATGTCAGAGCTGATATCCTGGGAATGAAATGATCACTATGCAGCTTTACTTAGAACAGTGGCCCACACTGGGTTACTTTGTCTCCTCCAAATACATAATCAAATTCCTTAGGCCAAGAATTGTAACTTTCTGGGATTAATTAAAATGAGCTGCTTTGTAGGACTATAAAAATTTAGAGCTAGGAGAAACTGGGATCTGTTCCATGTTCTCATTTGAGAAACGAAGAAGCAGATGGCCAGCGGGGTGACCACAGGGCTTACCCAAGATGACAGGCAAGGGGTGATGAGCTGGAGCAGACCGAGTTTGTGGCCCCCATTCTCCGTCTCTCTTAGGAGTCACACACTGAGGGACCTTTGGTGTTTCAACCCCTAGCCAAAAGCTGACTGAGAAGAGTCTCTTAGCTCATATCATTTCTCCTTGGCCTATAATCCCACCAGATCATGCTACGTTTGCCAGTGGAAAACGTCATCTAAAAAGATAGGTTTCCATCTGTGCCCTGCAGGAACAGGCGGGGTGAAGGCCCCGTGGGCTGACCCCAGGCCCTTCCCCGCCCCACGCGGTGAGCACGGCTCTGCTTAGTCCTCTGAACTGGGGAGACCTCTCTGACTAGAGGTGCCGCTGCCAAGCAGAGCTAGAAATGTGTCGGAACTCCCCAGTTGTAATGTCAAGTCCAGTGCTGAGCACAGTGCTGGTACTATGGGAGCTGGGTCCATGTTTGTGGAGGGAATCACCCAGGGCTGTCCCGTCAGAGCTGTGTGACTCCTGGGGGTGTTAGCTCTGCGGGGAGGGCTGTGGTTTCTGCTGACCCGTGGGCACCGGGTCTTGGTCACTCTGCCTTCGCTCCCACGTGCCTCGTTTTGTACTCTCTGCAGTCACACTGCCCTCAGCCAGCTCCTGGTCCTTGGCCAGGTGTCTGCCCCCCACCCTCCCTGACAGACTTGACCAGCCGACTCGACGCTTCACTTCTTTTTTTTTTGGTGAATGAGGGGGTCCCTTGACCTTCAGAACCTCATACAATCCCTCCTCCCCCCTCCTTTTTCCTTTCCCCTTTTGCCCCCTTTCAATTTCCAGATGTGACAAGCTGGAGGGAGGGCGGTGGGCGAAACATAATTTCTGCCACGTCTCTGAGCGCCTCCCCAACTGAGCTGGGCAGCAGGAACTCGAGTGCGGGAGATGGAGCCCCCTCCTCGGCATGTACCAGCGATTCTAAGGACCCCTCTCTCCGCCCGGCTCAGCCTGTCCGCAGAGGGGCTCCACAGTTCATGGGGAATGTGTACCATCCACCTACATACCATGACATGCTTCCAGCCTTCGTAAGTCTCCAGAGTGTGCGCTTCCCGTGAAGCCGGGTTGCCCCGGTCCCGCACGGCCTTCTCCACGTGGCCGAGTGTCCACCTTAGGTTCTCCCTCCCAGGTGCACCCTGCTTTGGAGGCTGCCATTAGTTTTGCATTTTCTCTCCCCCTTTTGGAATCTTAAGGGCCTCTGGCTGCTTTTCCTGGTGATGTGGATATTATTTCAGCCTTGTTTCTTTAGAAAAAGGAGAGGCAGGCATTGCCCAGGACACAAGTCCCCAGATTTACTCACAGCAGGAAAGAAATGGGGGAAGATGGTGGCAGGATTAATTGGGAAACCCCAAGACTTTCCTGTTTGTTTGTTTTTTTTCTTTTCATGTTTCATTTTCTGAAACAAATTCTAATGCAAGTGGAACTTAGAAATGGGTCATTACCAGAAAATCCTGTTCATTGGTGTTATGTTTCAGATGTGTTCGCCACAGTCATCAGAGAACCAGGGGACAGTGGAACGAGGACCTTTTCCCCTCCCCCAGCTCCGCCTGGAACCCCGTGTTCCTTTTAGGCAGTTCCAGTTGAATGACCAAGATGGGTAAGGCCATTGCACTGTAGACACGGGATGACCCCCGGTGGTGACACCAGACCAGATAACAGGCTGCCCTGGGAAAGGGCTCTGTGTCCTGGAGTTGCCAGCAAACCAAAACCACCTCAGCTCTCGGGGGCGTGTGCGATGGCAGGGGCTGGGGCTGGGCTGGGGCCGGGATTTCCGTCCCTGGCAGAGCTGGAGCTGTGGCCTGTGCTCATGGCTGCCATCCTGGGCATCAAGCTGCAGGATGAGGCAGGGCTCTCAGTGACACATTTGTTCCTTATGTGTTTCTTTTAAAAGGAGATGATTTGAATATTAAGCGCAAACACGAACCTTTTGCAGTCTAGGACTTACTTTTTGAAAAGTATTTGGTTGTGCTGCCATCTGTGTACTTGACACAAGTCCAGCGTCTTTAACGCTTCTCTCCCTCATCAGAAAAGAAAGCAGGCTGGGAATGAGTCGCCCAGTCCGTCCACTGAGGCAGCTGGTGGAGCGGGCTCCACGGCCCACCATCATCAACGCGGAGAACCTGAAGGGCCTGGACGACCTGGACACCGACGCCGACGACGGCTGGGCAGGTGGGCTGTGTTCCTGAGAGCCCACGGGCGGTGGTTTCGGAGGCAGGACTGACGCCGCCTCCGCAGTCACCAGGGGTGGATGGAAACCCCGTCGTGGGCCAGGAGTGAAGGGGTGGGCGGGGGTCCTTTCGAGCCCTGAGCAGATCCTCCTTGGTGCTCAGGCCTGTGCTTCCTGACCCATCCCTGTCTTCTTATGGCTTTTGGTCTTTATCTTAGAGCTGTGGTAGATTTTACAGTTAGCATCTTAAAAAGACTTTTTTTACAATGGAAAGATTAAACAAAGCAGAATAGCATAAGGAACCCCCAGCTTCAGCAAGTATCACCATTCTGCCGTCTTCTTCATTTTCACCCACTCCCCAACCCCCAGCCTGATTACTTTGTTATATAATCTGTTTTCAAGTAAATTTTAATTACATTGAAAGGCACACATCTTAATTGTTTAATTTTGACAAATGGAGACACTTGTGTGCCACGCCCCCGTTGCGCTTGTGTGCCACGCCCTCGTCAAGATAGACAGCCTTTCCCTTGTCACCCCAGTCCCTTCCATGTCAGCCTCCCTCCCCTGACTCTACCCAGGGTCTCCCCCGACTCTGATGAGTCTTACCTGTTACAGAGCTGCAGGTGAATGGGGTCACACAGCTTTTCCTCTGCTGTATCAATAGTTGTTTATAATTACGGGGATATATTTCATTGTATCAATATACTATAACTTGTTTATCCACTCAGAAGTTCCATTATGAATAATGTTTTCATTTCTCTTAAGTAGATACCTAGGAATGGAACTGGTGGGTCAAAGGGTAGGTGTGTGATAGGTTTACAAAAGCCACCCAGCCATTTCCCGAGGGGGCTGTGCCACTTTACATCCCCAGCAGCCACGGATGAGAATTGGGTGGCTCTCCATCCTCACAGCACTTTCCTGTTAGTCTTTTTAATTTTAGCTTTTCTAGTGGGTGTGTAGTGGTAGCTCATCGTGCTTTTAATTTGCATTTTGCTGATGACTAATGATGAAGAACACGTTTTCGTGTGCTATTTGGCTACTGGTATATCTTTATTTTTTTCTTTTTGAGTGGTACAATGCAAGTCCTTTGCGACTTACATTTCTCACACGTGTTTCCCCGTTGTCTGTCTTGCCCGTTTTTTTAGCACTCTGTTTTGATGAGCAGTAGCTTTTCATTTTGATGAAGTTTAATTTATAAATTTGGGTTTTTTATGGTTATTACTTTTGTGTCCTGTCTAAAAAAATCTTTGTGTCTCTTTGGTGGTGAAGATATTCCCTTATGTTTTATAGTTTTAACTCCCATGTTGAATTAATCGTTGTGTATGGTGTAAGATAGGAGTCAAGGTTCATTTTTTTCTGTAAGGATGTCCAGTTGTTCAGCACCATTTGTTGGTAAGACTTCCCCCTACTGAACCGATTTGGCACCTTTGCCAAAAATCAATTGACCATCTAAGTGTGGGTCTATTTCTGGACCTGTTTATTCCATCGATCTCTTATTTATCCCGGTGGCAGCACCTCCCTGGGGCTTTATAGTAAATCCAGGTAGTGTAGGTTTTCCAGTTTTGTTCTTTCTTAAGATTGTTTGACTACTGTATATTCTATTCATAGTCATATAAATGTAGAATCAGCCTGACAGTATTTACAAAAAGCCTGCAGGCATTTTGGTTAGGATTGTGTTAAATTTATTTCTGGATAGATGACATCTTAATTTTGACTCGTCCATCCAGGAACCTGGTGAATCTCTTTATCAGGTCTTTCATTTCTCCCAGCAGTGTTTTTTTTACAGTTTTCAGGGTAGAGGTCTTGGGTATCTTTTTTTTTTTTTTAAGGTTTTTATCGGGGAATTGGGGGGATGGGAACAGTGCTGGGGAATTGGGGGAAGGGGAACAGACAAGTTGCTGTCGTTTTGTTCTTCAGTCTAGTTGTGGAGGACGTTGCTTCACTGGCCCAAGTTGGCACCATCATTGCGCTCTTCCCGGGCGAGGCAGATCAGTTGCCGGCTTCTGGACAGCCGCTCACTGCGGCTGCTGGCCGCTCACGCTGGCTGCTGGCTACACACGGTAGCCCATGGCAACCGACTGCCGCAGGGGCTGCAGCCTACACCGTCGCCGGCGACTCACGGCAGCCCAGCTCCAGGTCGAGCTGTTGTTCAGCATCTTAGCTGTGGAGGGCAGTGTCACTGGCCCTCATATGTGGGATCCGAACCGGGGCCCTCTGGCATCCCAAGCCAGTTCTTAACCACCGCGCCACTCAGCCGGCCCTTGAGTATCTTTTACTAAGTTTATTCCTAAGTATTTTACGGTTTTTGATGCTATTATAAATGGCATTGTTTCTGTGTTTTTTTTTTAATTTCAGTTTCAAGTGTTTTTGGTGTTACATAGAAATATAGTCAGTTTTGTGCATTGAGCTTGTAACCAGACACTTTGCTGAATGCACTAATAAGTTTTACTTGATTTCTTGGCGTTTTCTACATAAACTATCACGTCACCTGTAAATAGGGACAGCTTTATGTCTTCCTTTTCAGGTTATATGCATTTTATTTATTTTTCTTGCTTTGTGGCACTTCAGCACAATGTTGTATTCAAGTTCTTTGTTTCCGATCTTAGAGAGAAAATGTTCAGTCTCACCATTAAATGTGATGTTAGCTCTAGGTTTTTTGGAAATGTTACTTCTCAGATTGAGAAGGTTCTCTTCCATCTCTAGCTTGCTGAATGTTTTGTTAATCATGAATGGGTATGTATTGAATTTTGTTTAATACTTTTCTTTGTGATCATGTGATTTTTCTCCTTTATTTTGGTAATCTGGTAGATTGCATTGATTTATGTTTTTGATGCTAAACCAACCTTGCATTCCTAGAATAAACTACCTTTTTGTATGCCTTGATTCAGTTTGCTGGTATTTTATTAAGCTTCTTGGTATATATGTTCATGGTGGATTTTGGTCTATAATTTACTTTTCTTTTAATAGCTTTGTTGGGTTTCGATACCATGTGATGCTGGGCTCATGAGATGATTTGGAAAAATGTTCTTCTCTACTTTCTGAGTGAATTTTTGTATAATTGGTATTGTTTTTTAGTTAATGCTTGATAAAATTTGCCAATGAAACAGTTTAGCCCTGGAATTTTCTTTGGGGAGACATTTGTGATAATAAATGTCTTGTATTTCTTTTATTATTTATGGGGGTGCTCAGATTCCTATGTTGTTTTGTGTCAGCTTTTAATAACTTTTCCAGGGGATTTGTTCATTTCTTTTGAATTTAATTTATTGGTGTAAAGTTGTTGATAATATTTCTTTTCCTTTGATGTTTTTACTGTTTATAGTTGTATAACCTATTTCATTCCTAAAAATTAGGTGATTTGTGTTTTTTCCCTTTTTCTTGTTTACTCCTGCCAAGGCTTAATTAATTTTATTAATATTTATAAAGAGACAGCTTTTGGCTTTAATTCTCTCCATTGTTTGTTTTCTATTTCATTGATCTGTTCGTTTTAATTATTGGGACTATCTAGATTTCTAATTTAATTCCATTATAGTCAGAGCGCATACTCAATGATTTCAGATCTTTTTGACTTATTTAGACTTATTTTATGACCAAGATATGGTCTGTCTTGGTGAGTATTCCATGTGCATTTGAAAAGAATGTGTATTCTAGTTGTTTGGTGTCATGTTCTGTAAGGACATGTGTCACGCGGCTCATATACTTACTGCTATTTTTACCTAGTTCTATCAGTTACTGAAAATGAGGTGTTTAGCTCTCCACTATAATTGTGGATTTATCTTTTTTCTGTTTTTGCTTCATTTACTTTGAAGCTATTATTAGGCATATGCACCTTTCTAATTTTTGTGACTCTGGCATTGACCCTTTGTATTGTTTTCAAGTGTCTTCAACTCTAGTAATGCTTCTTGTCTTGGAGTCTGTTTTGTCCCATGTTCACATCATTGCTCTGACTTCATTGTTTTCATGGTGTATCTTTTTCCTTCCTTTACTTCTCTGAGCATTTGTGATTGTATTTAAAGTGACAACCCAGACAGCATATATTATACTTGCTTTCTCATCCACTCTAACTCTTCCTTTTCATTGGATTGGGCTTTTTGGTGTTGCCTTTTTCTTTAAAGATGCAATTCAGTGGCTTTTAGTATAGTCACAAGTTGGCACAACTGTCACCATTATCCAATTCCAGAACATTCTATCACCCACAAACCCTTTGTCCGTTAGCAGTCACTTCCAGTCACCACCTGCCCCCATCTCACCCCTCCCATGTCCTCTGGCAACAGCTAATCTTTCTGTCTCTGGGTTTACACCTGGACATTTCGTATAAATGGAATCATATTATGTGACATGGGGCCTTTCACGTCTGGCTTCTCTCACTTAGCGTAATGTTTTCAAGGTTCGCGATGTTGTCGCCTGTGTCAGCATTTATTCTCTTTTATGGCCAGTGCTCTTCCATTGTACGGGCCGACCACAGTTTGTGTGCCTGCTCCTCAGTTGGTGGACACTGTCTGCTCCCTGAGCCCCTCAGGGATTGGCAGTAGTGCCCTGGGTCCCAGCGGTCACCAGAGATCTCAGCAGCAAAGCCTCTGTGCTGGGGAACTCCCACTGGGATTCTGCCTGCTTTGCTTACTCTCCTGTACCTTCCAGTACGTTTGAAAACTACCCCGATGGAAGAACTGTCATCTGTGGGAGGGCTCGTCTGCCCAGACCACTGTGCTGTTCCGAGAAGCCAGAGCTGTCCTTCATTTTTATCTGCAGTTCTGGAGATGGCAGCTGGGTGGTTTGGTTCTCTCCTCACTGGCGTGGCGTAATTCCTGACTAAAGGGAGCCCCCAGGGGCACGCTTAGCCCGTCGAGATCATCTCATTTTGTCCTGTTCTTCCTGGCCCACCTCCTGCTGTAGGCCTCCACGAGGAAGTGGACTATTCTGAGAAGCTGAAGTTCAGTGACGACGAAGAGGAGGAAGAAGTGGTGAAGGACGGCAGGCCAAAGTGGTAAGGCTCCCCATCCCTGGTCGTAGCGCCGTGCCAGTGGAACCTGACGCTGGGAGGATGTACATGCACGGTACTTGTTGGTTCTGCTGTGTGCTAGTCACCATGCCAACTGTGTTTCCTAGTTACCAGCAAGCTCACAGGGCAGGTAGTGTTTCAGGTTGCAGATGTGAGGACTGCAGCCAGGCTTTGCATCCAGGCGCAGCGGGCTGAGTCCTGGTGACGGCACCACTGTCCCAGTGCTTCCCCAGTGTGCTGTGCAGGCCACATGTTCTACAGATTGATTATGGGCGTTGTGCCCCAAAAGGCTTCTGTCACCAACCAAGTTGGGAAGCCACCATGGGTTCAACTTACTCCTTTACTCCAGAGTGGCCCACAGCCTGGGCTGTGCATGCCAGAGCATGCTGGGAGTCTTGCGGAGGTGGGAGAGGCAGTGAGTGGGTGTGCTAGATTTCCTAAACGCATTTGACCACTTTAGTCTTCTCTCTCTTTTTTTGGTTATTTCCTTGGACTAATTTTACTCATAATGCCCTTTGGAAAGAACATCATTGTACTTTAGTCGTTCTAGTTTTTGTCATAATATCAATGGTATTGGCGGGTATTTTTAAAATAGTACCTATTGCTGCTTTAATTTGCATGTTTTTTGAATACCAGCAAATATGAATGTTTTCCTTTGTGTGGAGTTGCCTGTTTCCTTTGTACATTATCTATTAGACATAGGCTTTCCTTTAAAATGTGGTTGTTTTGTATTGTTTAGATACTAATGCTTTAATTTTATTTCCCTTTGTTTACTTTACTGTCCATGACCGAGTGTTTCTTTTGTCGAGCCTACGAGCCTTTTTCTTTGTTGTTTCATCTTTCACGTCAAATCCCCTGGAGGAAGTGCCGCTCTTCTCGAGGAAGCCGGTCACGATCTTCTGCCACTTTCTCTGATGATTCAAATGAACTAGCTGCGGCTTCTGTAACTTATCTTAATGCTGTTCAATTTTAGCCAAAGCTTTGAATATACTTGGGAACTATCTATGGCTTAGTTCTCAGAACACTAAGCTCAGAAGGAAATGTGACCAAGAATGTAAGCTAAAGGCAAAGAGTAACATTTTACAGATTTTTTGGAGCAGTGGGACACTGTTTTGTGTTTCTTTTAATTGATGTTTACCGAATATTCAACTGAAGGAGTTAGACATGGGGTTTGGACCCAGCTTTGCTACTGGCTATGACGAGGGACACCTCAAATTGAGGGCACCCCCTCGCTAAACCTGCTCTTTGGTTTATGTTCTCTGAGCTGGTTGAAGGTATCCAACCCTGAGATTCCTGATACTGCCTTTGACTCCATCCCTTTCTGATCATTGTCTCCGGGGCAGCTGGGAACAGCTTCTTTTTGGACCATTCAGAGGTCAGCCAGAAGGCCACTTTCCTTCCCCTCCCCCTTCACACTGCACCTAGTTGTCCTCTAAAGACGCAGGTCTTTCTGGTGCATCAGGGACCTTGGTGTGGGCCCGTGCCTGTCAGCGAAGTCAGCGTCACTAGCAGTTGTTGCTCTGCTGTGATGTCCTAATTCACCATACTTGCCTTATTTTCCCTCCACTCACAGCCCTATGTGTGCGTGGACATGAGCAGATGCACACAGGTCTGCCAGACCCGACTCCCTGCTTTCCTCTGAACTCCTGTTATGTTGACTGGGCACTTTTGCATACAGGAGGTGCTCAGCACATGCTCATACGTTGTGACCTGGCACCGTTGTTACCCTGTAGCATGTAAAGGGGAGCACTGCACAGCTCTCCCCCGTCCCAGCCTCCCCCTAGCCGCCTCCGCCGCGCGCTGTGTGCCCCACTTCCCTCCTCTTGTTCTCTTGGCTGTGCCATCATCCAGTGAGGCGTCTTTTGCTGTTTTGAGGCGCATTGTTGAGCATGTCCTATATGCAAAGCGTGGAGAAGGACATTCATCTGGTAGTCCTAGGTTCAAATCTCAGCCCTTTCCTGGGAGAACAACTCCCCAGCCTCACTGAGACTGTTACCAACTCTTTAAAGTAGGGGGAGTAAGGGTCTTTTTTTTTTTTTTTTTTTTTTTTTTCTTTTCATTTTAAAGAAGTCCCTATAACATTCCTTGTAATATTTTGTAAGTGACTTGGTAAATGTTGGTGCTGAATTGTGGTGGTCTGGGCACGTCCTCTTGCCTGTAAAGGGGTGGAAGGTGGTCTGCCTGATGAAGGGAATTGGTATATAGACACTGACGAAGGGCCTCTGACCAGTACAATCAGACCACACTGGGCTGGCTGGGAAAACTGATGCTCGGTGCGGTTTGTCCTAGGAACAGTTGGGACCCTAGAAGGCAGCGACAGTTGTCAATGAGCTCTGCAGACAGTGCCGATACCAAGCGTACCCAAGAGGAAGGAAAGGACTGGGGCGAAACAGTGGGCATGATCCGGGCCGTCCGGAAGGGGGCAGAATCTCAGCCACCTTCCAGGAAGCTTCACAGCTGGGCGCCAGGCCCTGACTACCAGGTACCATGGGCGGGGTGGGGGTGGGGGGGTCTCTCTCCCTCTCTCTCTCTCTCTCTCTCTCTCCCCCTCTCCCTCCCTCTCTCTCTCCCCCTCTCCCTCCCTCCCTTCCCCCAAAATCATTTGACCAGAGTTCAAAGACACACACCACAGCATGTGGTCTAGTCACCTGTCCGGAGCAGCAATTGTAAGCAATTGTACTTCGCTGAGGTCAGTGGCTGGGTTTCTGAAAAGTCCTAGGTAGACATTTCTCTCTCTTTTTTTAATTCAAAATTTTGAAACAGGCATAAATGTATAGAAAAGTTGGAAGTACAATATAAAGAATACTGTTTTCTGAGCCATTTGAAGAGTAAGTTGCCAGCGTGATCAGGCCCGGTCACCATAGAACACTTGGTATCTACTCATACTTAACTGAAATGGACATTCCTTCTAGGCACCGTCAGTCATCCCGGGAACTAACATTGCTCCAGCCTCAGGCCCCATTCAGCCTTCACTAATTATCCTATTAATGTCCTTTGTACAAAGGAATTCAGTTCAGATTCACATGCCACCCTAGTTGTCTTTTCTGTTACTTTGTGCGTTTGCCTGGTCCTTCCTCATTATTAGGTTCAAGGTCTTTTTTTTAGGTTAGAATCTCTCAGGAATGACACTGACTCTTTTTTTGTTTTGTTTTGTTTTTTTATTTGTTTATTTATTTATTTAAATGGGGGAATTGGGGAGGGGGCCAGCTAAGTTGTTGTTCTTCAGTCTTCGTTGTGGAGGACGCCAGTCACCACCTGGCTGCCTGTCAGCAGCTTGTGGTCTCTAAGCTCAAGGTGCTGTGTTACAATCTTAATTGCGGGTGGGCGTAACCACCATCCCATGCGGGAGTCGAACCGGCAGCCTTGTTGTTAAGAGTGCATGCTGTATCCACTGAGCCATCTGGCTGGCAGCTCATCTCAAGGTGCCGAGTTCAGTCTTAGTTGCAGGCGGTTGTAGCCCACCATCGAACAGGCAGTCTTGTTGAAAGCACGTGCTCTCACCAGCTGAGCCATCCTGCCACCTGTTGGCAGCTCAGCAGCAGCTCAGCTCAGGCGCAGTGTCACTGGCCCATGTGGGAATTCAACCGGCGGCCCTGTTGCTCAGAGCTTGTGCTCTTCAGCTAACTCTTAACCCACTGAGCCACTCGGCCGGCCCGACACTGACTCTTCTCGTTGCATCCTAGCCAGTGACCATGGTTCCGCTCTGTCCCGCTCTGACAACCTTCACTTTAAGGGGTGTCTACCAAGTTTCACACTGGAGTTAATCTCTTTCACATTTGTAATTGATAAGAATTTTGTGGGGAGATACTTTGAGATTGAATGTCCTGTTTCTCATCAAACTTTGAGTTTATTTAATTTATATCAATGAGTTAAAATCTGTTGCTCGTTGTTTTAAGGCTCAAATTGTCTTTGATTTGGCTGTCAACAGCCTCTCCAGACTGGCGTCCTTATCCTTTTCACATGTCTCCATCCTTTTTTGAGCAATTCCTTGCTTTCTGGTAGAACAAGCTTTTATAAGCTTCTTCATCCTTACCCTACTTTGGCCCTGGAAGCAGCCCTTAAGATATTCAGAAACCAGGAAGGCTTTGCTGTTGGGGTGTTAAAACAGCTCGTGGGTCCTCAGTGGACAGAGTTAGGGAATGTGTGTGTATACACATACGTGTGTCCATATGTACTCACACGTTCACGTCTTCATTATTTCTGTATCTGTCTGTACAGACAGCTGAGTTCACAGTGCTATCTCCAGGTGCACAGAATTCATTCTAGTTTTCTCCTGCTGCACATTTGCTACTCCTTTCTCCAACCCTGAGAAATCTGCCTCCCATTGTCCCCAGTATGTACACCTACTTGGTCATCCCCCATGTGACCAGTCTCCCATTTCTGCCACCACTCCCTGTCCCTTGCACAGGCGCCCTCTTCACCCACTCAGATGTCAGTGCCCCACGTGGATGCCCCAAATTTCCCTGCTGGGCTCGCTCTCCTTACGAATTCCCTCGAGTTAACAGATAAAATCTATATAATTTTTTGCATCCAAATTTTTGAAGAGATTGTCGTGATTCAAATATTTTGCTGAACAGTTAGGCTATAAAATGATAGTTAATCGTAGGGCAGTTTAGAAAGGTACATTCAAAAGTCCTGATAATGTACCCATACCCGTTGATTCTGCTATTTCATTGCTAGGAATCTGATGGAAATTATCAGGGATATGCATTAAGGACTATCTGCAGGGGGTTGCTGAACACCAGGGCATGAGCCATGTGGTGAGACAATGCACAGCCATTAGAGCATGGACAGACGTTAACATTCAAGAGCAAACGGAAAGAAACATGCACACTTTGGTCCCAGTTATGTTATGGTAAAAGGACCTTCATGCTTCTAAATTAGAAGTGTATCATCTCTTATGATTTTGTCTCTGGATTATGAGATAACTCCTTGACCCCAGGAAATGTGTTGCGTATTGCTTTCGTGGACGTAGAATTAACATACAAGAAAAGGCATGGATCTTAGTTTTATTACGTTTGGTGACTTTGGGCAGTTCTGTACATCTGTGATTACTGCTTAAAGCCTGGAGGGGTACATTTTTCTGATAGTCCTATCTCAGTGGCTGGGCTTTGGCTGACTTTCCCATTGTTTGTGTTGCCATGTGTTCTGCACGTAGCTCCCAGACTCTGCAGATCAGTGAGGAGTCTCCCCAGTGCCTAGAGGTCACAGTGCGCTTTTGGCTCCCTGGTTGTCACAGTAACTAGCAACCAATGAGAGACTCAAGTGCATGAGATTTCCAGAGAGATGTTTTAGAGATGCTTTTTTGTGTTTATGTAAAGAATCACTTTGAAACCGTATGTCTGACTGAATTTCAATTTCTTTTGGCTCTTTGTACCCTGACGTTTGTGTGTTTCCAGTGGTTAGGCGGGGAGCAGAGCAATGTTGTGACTAAGAAATGGTGCCTGTGTGGTTCTCAGCCCCCGTTCATCAGCCATGGAGGCCCAGATCGTGTGTGCCCATTAGGAGTGGTGAAAGCATCCCTTTCCTGAGTGTTTCCTCTGTGTCAGTCACAGCATTGAGTGTTTCGCACACATGTCAGTGTATCCTCACAGTCCCAAGGGCTTCCTATATTGTCCCCAGTTTGCAAATGAGGAACTAAGGTACAGAATGATGGCACTTGTCCACGCCTCATTCCCAATATAGTAAGGGCAGAGCAGGATTAAAACTCAGGTCCACCTAGCTCATGACGGGCCTCGCGAAAGTGCCCAAGGGACTTGGGAAGGTGAACTGATCCCACAATGGACGTGGCCCTATCTCCTGGGTTTGTGACGTGCTGTTTCATCAGCAACTTTCTTCTCTCGGCAGAAGTCCTCAATGGGCAGCATGTTTAGGCAACAGTCTGTCGAAGACAAAGAGGACAAGCCACCCCCGCGGCAGAAATTCATCCAGTCAGAGATGTCGGAGGCCGTGGAACGAGCCCGGAAGCGCCGGGAGGAGGAGGAGCGTCGTGCCCGGGAAGAGAGGTTGGCTGCCTGCGCCGCCAAACTCAAACAGCTGGACCAGAAGTGTAAGCAGGCTCAGCGGGCCAGCGAGGCCCAGAAACAGGTGGACAAGGAAGTCCCCCGGTCTCCGAGCACCGAGAAGGGGCCCTCACAGGAGAACGGCCCTGCTGTCCGCAGAGGTAAGCGATGGGCCGCCGTCGTCCGTCCCATCCCCCCCCTCCTCTCTGGAAATGCTGAGTTGCTGTGCTCACTGGCTTTGTTTGCACGTCCCTGGCTTCCTGGCACAGCCCATGGCTTGCAACTAGATGACCCTGGGCAGCATCTGTTGTTAAGGATTTCGGCCTCGCCTAAATGCCTGGGTTCACTTCCTGTTTCAACTATCAGAGCTAGCTGGCTACACGCCTCACCTCATCTGTGAGATGGGGTGATAACAGTATGTCCCTCCCTGCACGCCGGGGCCACGTGAGATCATGTGCAGAAAGCGCTCTGGAACTAGGAAGCATGCGTGTACCACTGGTCATGTTACTGGTGTCGTTGCTGTCATCAGCATTGTCATTACTGCCACCGCTTAACCAAAGGTGCAGACATTAGAGGTCCGTAATGAGAGCACGGGAGCCTTTCACACGACATTGAAAGAAACCGCTTGCTTGTTAGAATGTTTTTTCTGGCATTCATGGACCACATGGCTGTGTAAAAGACTTTGAGCAGTGCTGTCTGGTGGACAGTATCTCTTGTAGTAATTTTAAAGAATACAATCTGCTGTGTTCTTTGTGATTTTCTTAAATCAACTAAAACCCACCCTTTTTAGAAGAGAGGGGCCTGGTATTAGTTTCAGTCCCTGAAAGCCTCTCAGTTGGGGTCTTACTGGTGGTCTGATAGTCATAGTGCCCTTCTGGGCCGTGGAGCTCAGAGAAGTCGAGTTCCTTCCGCTATGCATTTCCTTCCGCTGCGGTCTGAGTGGAGCCTGCCCGGCCTTTCAGCCCTCACTGAGATGGGGCAGTGGACAGTCCAGGACACAGATCGCTTAGGTGGGCGTGATCAGTGATTCTGGTCCCCAGGGTGGGCCTGGGTGTTGTGAGCACCCACAGGCACCACTAGCTCTGTGAGGCTTTGCATCCAGGTTCCTTACCTCTTTGCAGTAGAATTAGGAATGCAAATGCAGTTACACTTTAGTAAAGCTGGGGAAAAAAGGAGTGCAAAGCTGGGATGGGGGCAAGAAAGAATGGAATTTCAGAGAGAATGATGAGGGGAAATTATGTTGAGCACTTATTGCCTGTCAGGTGCTGTTTTAAGCACATTACATGGATTATCTGGTTTAATTCTCACAAAAGCATGGCGGGGCAGGCACAGTGGCTGTCCTCATTTTATAGATAAAGAAACGGGCAAGGAGAGGCTAAACGACATGGCCAGGTCACACAGCCTGTGCATGTGTTGAGCCATGCTGTTCGGATGATGGATGTGTGGACTATGGTTGAGCTGCTGGCTGCTCTCTGATTTACGAGGGTCCTTTTTAATGAAGCCTCTCTCACTTCTTTAATGAAGCCCAGTCCCAACTCCACTGTTGTGTGACCTCGGGCAGCTCCCCTAACCTGTGGGCGCTTTGTTCCTCTAAGGAGATGATGTGGGCTCCGTGGGCGTGGGCGTGTGAAGAGGCGTTTAGCACGGTGCCAGGGCTCAGGTGTGAACAGCCTGGCAGTGGAAGGGGAGTGCCGACAAGAAGAAGCATCTGCCGTTAAACATTTGGTCGGCCAAGCTTTGGTGAGCTCACCGCTCCCCTTTCTCTGGTTATTTGTTTTCTAGGCTCCCCTGAGTTCTCTGCCCAGGAAACTCCCAACACGTTTTCAGAAGAAGCCCCCGCAGCCCCTGCAGCTGTGGCTCAGAGCGGCAGCAGTGACGAGGGGGCCGGGGAGGCTGGGTCCCCTGCACAGGAGTTCAGCAAGTACCAGAAGTCACTTCCCCCCAGGTTCCAGCGCCAGCAGCAGCAGCAGCAGCAGCAGCAGCAACAGCAGCAGCAGCAGGTAAACAGAGGAGACATTTGGAAGCTCATCATAAACAGACCTGACTACTGAGCAGATGTCGCCTCTCCCCTCCCCCAAGCCCCTTCTGTTAAAACAAACAAACAAAAATCCACCCTCATGTACCCCAGTCACCACATGGTGTCCGGAGCTACACTCAGAACTCAGGGCCTTGGTCGGTCAGCCTGAGTATGACGGATTGCTCCTGTGCGTGGGTACAAGCCTGGCTGTGGTTTACTGACCTGTTGTGTCGTTTGCTAAGGAAGAGTTGGTGTGCGTGCACCGGCCTCCGTTTAGGCTTGCTGGGAGAGCGATTTTGTCATTCAGAGCAGCCCGCCATGACCACTTCTTACCTCCACCGTGGCCCCACGCCAGGACCTTCCCAAGGAGGGAGGGAGGTCTGCGAGTTGCTTGGGGAGCTGTCCGAGAGGCCTGTTAGCTCTGGGTGAGGATGTAGGTTTTTAGGTTTCGAACCAGAGAGCTGGGGATCTGATCCTAAGGTGCGGACCATGTAGTCGTGTGTGGCCTTGGACAGGTCAGTGTCAACCAGGAAGCGGGAACACCTGCCTCCGCACGGCAGTGAGGGTTTACGACACCCAGTGTCCTCTTTACTGGTGTTTCATGGACCTTAAAAAGGACCTGCCTTTGGCCCTGAAGATCGAGCGAGTGTGGCTGTGACCACACAGACCCCTCTCGTCCTGGTCGTCGTGCCCGGCTGGAATCACTCGTGGGCAGTTATGTGTCTTTCAGTAGAAGATGAGCAGATGTATTACGGATGAGCTGTGCCTTTTGGTGGGAAACAGACGTGATACATGGACATAGCGCAGCAGCTGGGCGTGCACGCAGTTATCATTAGTAATAGCTGGAAAGTTTCAAAGCGTGTGTGCGCCTGGGGAAACCAACCCAAGTCCTGAGCCTCTTCCTGGCATCTCTTAGGTGCCTTTGAAACCTTCCCCCCAGAGCCTGCTTCCTTTGGGCTCCCAGGAAGCATTCCCGGAGCCCACCAGGCCTGGTGCTCTCAGCAGAAAGTCCACTCCATGTGCTTTTGTAGGGCTGTGGTGTGGGCGAGCGCTGTGCAGTTAACTCGTGGCTTGTGGAGAGGGACTGGGAGATCTGGACACAGCTGTGACAGCAGTGACAGTTGCTCCGGGTGATTCTTCTGGGGCAGTGATGGGTAAATCCTTCCTTAAAAGAAAGAAGTCTGAAAGCGCCAGGAGAGCCAGAAGGAGTCTAGCAAACAGACTGTCTGGTCAGGCTCCGTGGGGACCTGGGGTCTAGTTGTGAGGAATCACCGTGGGTGGAGGCCCGCAGCCTCCTGTGTGGGCCAGAGAGCTCCCATTACCGAGTGCCGCGTGCTCCTTAGAAGGAGCTGGGAGTGCCGGTGGAGCCGTCCAGGGAAGCCAGCGCAGGCTGCAGGCCGGTGGGCGGCCTTCGTGCTGCAGGTGGAAGGGGGTGGCCCAGTCAGTTGTCCTCGTCTGACTGCACCTGAGCCCGGCGGGATGCACTTGCGAGGCAGCCCGGAGGCCACTGATGTGATGGATCTGAAATGAACCTTTGCGAGTCCAGGTCCTTGGCATTGAGTGGTCTGCGGATGCTTTATATTCATTCTTCAGGCAGCGAGCTTTTGGTGAACCTCGTCTGCTGGTGGGAAGCAAGGCTACCACGTGAACTCAGCGTGCAGTCTCTCACGATTTAATGAGGGAAACCAGCAACCCAGAATAATGACCTGTTGTCGGTGCTGCAGAGGAGAAACAGCAGTGCCATGAGGGTGGAGAACGGGACCTGTTGTCACCTAGGGAGTTGTGACAGGCCTCCCAGAGGAAGTGCTTTTTAAGTTGGAATCTAAAGAAAGAGTACGAGTGAGCCGGGTTGGGGGGCGGAGGGAACAGGAGCTCCCCAGACAGAAGGCCCAGTGTGTTCCCAAAGCCTGAAGGGGACAGGCCATCCTATGGAGCAGTGCCAGGAGGGTCTGTGAGGTGACACCCGGGAGGCAGGACCCGCAGGACCCTGTCGCTCTTGTGGAGCCCCGTGGAGAACCATCGCAAGCGCTTTTGAAGCGAGGGGTTGATATGATGGTGGGGGTGGTGGGGGCGATATTAATAGAGATCACTTGAGATGAGTGTGGAGAATGGACGGAAGAGGGCCAGAGTGAGGGGAAAGGATGACCTTCGTCAGGGGCTGGTTTCAGGCGCGGAGGAACCTCGGGGGGGTAGGCTGGTAAGCAGTCAGTCCCAGGAGTGTTTGAGCTAGACGGAAACCCAGTCTGCCTGGTAGCAGAGGAGCACACGGGCTCCAGTTATGACAATGTGTGACTGTCCGGGTTGGAGAGAAGGACCGCAGCCTGAAAACCACAATACCCTGGGGTTGTTCTTTCGAGCAGCTGCCCATCCCTTCCCTCTTTTGGTCTTCTGGTGGGCTTTGTGCCACCTGATGGAAAGCTGGAAGAGTGAGTGTGTGCGTGTGTGTGCGTGCGAGCACTGCGCACGTGTGTGTGCGTGTGAGCACTGTGGGTGTGCACATGTGTGCGTGTGTGCATGTTCATGTGTGTGCAGGGGCGGCACCCCCACCTGGCAGCACCTGCCTAACCTGGGTCTCTCCTGGCCAGGAGCAGTTGTACAAGATGCAGCACTGGCAGCCTGTGTACCCCGCAGCCTCCCACCCGCAGCGCACCTTCTACCCGCACCACCCCCAGATGCTGGGCTTCGACCCCAGATGGATGGTGATGCCTTCGTACCTGGACCCCCGGGTCACACCCACGCGGACTCCGGTGGACTTCTACCCCTCGGCCCTGCATCCCTCTGGTAAGCGCTGGCTAGTGGACTACACCTGTAGGGCCCGGACACTGGTGTTCAGGGTGTTGGCTCAGGTGTTGGACCCACTTGACGCGGTCTGGCCTCTTCTGCAAGTCACACGACCAAATCTGAGCTTTGACTTGTTTGTTTGCAGAGTGAGGGTGTGATAATAGTACCTGTTGGTTACAAGGAATCATTGGGAAGAGGCCTTAAACTCCTGCATCATAAAATGCCTTAGTTAATTTTTCTCTCTTCTGTGCCGTGTTGTCCCTCTTTGGTCATTAATGTCCTTTGTGCCTTCTCTGCTGTTTCCTTGATTATCAGTCTTCCCCAGCGTGTGTCTAGTGCTGTTTTTAAAAAGTAGCCTCTGGGTTTCTTAATTCCTCTATTTTATTGGGTTTTATTTCATTAACTTCTGCTGTTTTTCTCATTATTTCCTTCAAAATTACTCTGTTCTTTTTCTAATTAGTTGTGTTGGATGCTCAGCCATTAATTTTTACCTCTCTGATGTATTTAGGTATCACCTGAGCTGTGAGCACCTGAGTTTTAAGATAGAGCACTTTTATTGTACAAATCTAAATGTTAGTCTGATTTTGATTTAGCTTTGTTATTTGATTTTTTTAATGGTATGCTGTAAATTTTCCAAATACATAAAGTTTTAAGATTATCCTTATGCTGTGAGTTTCTAATGTGCTGCTTTATGGTTGGATAATATGGTCTGTGTGGTAGAGGCTGGGGGTCATCAAACTTTCTGTAAATGCCAGATGGTAAGTATTTTACGCTTTGAGCAGCTACTCAGCTTTGCTGTTGTAGAACAAATACATAGACAGTTGTAAGTGGATGAGCGTGGTTGCTTTCCAGTAATAATTTGTAAAACAGGTGGCAGGTCAAAGGACGCGAGGGCTGGGGTGTCCCAACCAGGGCCCGATCTAGGTTGCTTGACATTTGTTGAGATTTTCTTTGTAGGCTGTTGCATGGCCTTCTTTTATTTATTTATTTTTATTTTTTTAGCTGAGCTATCCTGCCACCTGTTGGCAGCTCAGCAGCAACTCAGCCCGGGCCAGAAATCGAAGTGCTGTCGCTCAGAGTTCGCTCACGCACTCTTGAGCGAGCTCTTCACCAACTGAGCCACTCAGCCGGCCCTTGCATGGCTTTCTTTTAGACATTCTATGTTTGGTTGAAAAGAATAGGTATTCTAATTGGATGTGGTCCATTAAATTGAGCTTGCTAATTGCACTACGCTAAGCGAATATCTGTGTCATCGCAATTTTTTATCCACTTGATCAATTACGAAGAGGCGTGTTAGGCTCTTCGACGATGACTGTGAATCTGTTAGATCTTGGGAACCTGTCAGTGTTTGCTTTATCTGGAGGCACACCTGTGCTACCATTAATTGTGCTTCCTACCTTAAAAGCCTACTTTGTATGACAGTATTATCATCATTCCAGTTTTCTTTTCATTAGTGATCATTTGGTATCCTTTTTCCAATTTTTTACCCTCGGCTTCTCTGAGCCTGTTTTTTTGGGGGAATTTATCTTTGCATGTACAAGCTGTGTGTGGCTTCACCCACTCTGAAAGCCTATGACTTTATTGCTAAATTTGGTCCCTTCAAAATTGCTAGGAGAATTATGTTTGGACTTCCTACTCCCCTGTTTTATGCTTTTTGTTGAATCCTCTTTTCTATGCTTTTTTCTTTTTCTTTTTTTTTTTTTTTTTTGGATCAGGTGTCCCTGTTTTTGTTTTCCTTCTACATTCAGTTTCTACTGCCTGAGTGGTTACATTCATTCTAACATGTGCCCTCGATTTACAGTAGCTCCACCCTTAACCTGAACCCTGATTCCCTCCTCATTAGTCTTACCTGTTATTTCTGCCTAGAATTTCAGTTCTTCCTTGTTTCTGTACCCACCAAATGAGTCATTATTACTTTGTTGTTTTATCCAATCTGTTTGTTCAGATTTGCCTGTATGTTTACTAGTTTCTTTGTTGCTTTTCCCTTCTTGCATCTTTTTCTCATCTGGGTTCAGTTTACTTCTTCATGAAGTATTTTCTGTCAAATCCTTCAAGAAAATGTTTTGGCAGTAGATTTCATTTGCTTGAAGAAGTCTTCATGTCGCCCTTTCTCTTGAATGGTAGTGTAGTGTAGCTGGGTGCCAAAGTCTAGATTGACAGTTACTTTTACCCTGTGAAGATGTTCTTGCATCTCCTCTGGCTCCTGTTGCTACTGGCTGCCTGTGTTAGGTGTGGTGAGTCCACTGTTCTCTGGCCACTTTTCAGGCCTCCCCTCTACCTTTGGTCTCTGCAGTTCTGTCTCGATGTGCTGTGTCTAGGTGTATACCTACACCTACCTTATTTCATTCTGCTTAGAACTCACAGTGCTCCAACCTAAGGATGTATGTCTTTCATCACTTCTGGAAAATTTTTTTAATTGTCGATTCAAATATTGTTTTTTTCCTCATTCTTTGTACCCTTTCTTCCTAAGACTCCCACTTGGATTATTTTGTACCTTCTCATTCTGCTTTCCAAGTCTCTTAAATATAAAAGAGAGATTATCTCAGTGGTACCTTCTGGGAAAATGCCTCAGAACTGTTTTCCAGTTCAGTTTCCTCTCCAGCTGTGTCTAGTCTGCTTTTTTTCCTACTGTCCAGTGAGTTAATTTCAATGACTATATTTTAATCACTAGAATTTTCTTCTCAAATATATTATTTTTTCTTGTCTCATATTTTTAATTCCTTTTATACTTCTTAATCATTTAAAACAGTTGTTCTAGTGTTTAGCAGTTTATTCTGTTATCTGAAGTTCTTGGAGAGGTACATAATCCCGTGGGCTTACCGTGGATTCATGGTGGCTTGCTTTCCACACGTATTCTGGCAATTTTGGATTGCGAGTTCATTTTTAACAGAGCTTTATCTATTGTGGGGATCCAGTATGGCTTGGGTTGACAGTATATCTTTCCAGAGTGGTTTTATAAGTTTTCTTCTGCCAGCCTAGAACCCCCTTTTATTTTCACTGAGGAAGTTTCTGGACCACTCTGGGAGTATAAGTCTGAACTCCCCTTCTCCCAAACCTGTATGAAAGCTGGCATGTGGCTGTGGACTTCTAGAGGGGGACTGTTTTTTCCTTACCCTGGCCCAGGCCAAGACACAAACTTAGCCATTTCCCTGTACGAAAGAGCATGCGTTTTTCTAATCTGCATTTTCACTGAGGACATAACCCTCTGAGGGTCTGTTTTTAAGCAGCATCTCAGTTGCACCTCTCTGCCTTGTGCAGAAAAGCCCCGTGCCCTTTCTTGTGAGGGTGCCGGAGACCAAGCGAGCGCACAGGCTGGGAAGCCTGACAGATGTGTCCCCTGTTCCTCTCCAGGAAGCACCAGCATGTGGCTCAGGCCTGTCGCTGCGGTTTCAGCTCCCGGGGGGGGTCCGGTTTTCTAGAGGAAATGTCTCTAGAAATTTGAATTGCCTAGATATGGTGAATTGTTTGATATGTTCTGTCCAGCATTATTGTGGCAGAAAGTGTTTGTGGCAGGAGGGTTTTCAGGTAATAAGGGCTCTGCCATCTTGCCAAAAATAAGTCCACGTGCAGTGTTGAGCAGTTTAGCCACCTCGGAACCAGTACTTGATGAACGGTATGTAATTTGAGGGTTCCAGAGCGGGTCCCCACCATGTGCCTCAGTCTGACTCTGTATCGGAGTCGTGTATCAGTGTCATTTGAACGGAGCACTCCACAGCTAAAAGGAAGCTTAAAGCCACTGGCCTAATGCAGAACCATTTTCCCAGCCAGGTAGCTCAGTTTAAAAATGGTCACGACACAATTTTTGGCTATTGATAAGCTTTATGAAGAAAATAGTTGAAAATTTTATCTTCCCCCCCCCCCCCCACAGACTGAGGCCCAGCGAGACCTATAGTATCACCTGCACCAACCCGACACCCTCATTTGATAGACGTGGGCAGAGGGGGATGTGGTTTCCCCAGCTAGTTTATGGCTGATAGGACAGAGATGTCATCTCTAGCCTAACTTCCTCGAGACAGCCAACAGTTTATTGTCGTTTGTGCGCACCCACACCATTCACGTAAAAAAATAAGGAGTGTTGCTGTCAATCTTAGGGTTAGAAATAAAAGGAAGTAAGACTAAAACCTCTTTGTAAATGCGCTTGCGCGGTTCTGAAGCACGTAAGCGCCGGCTCGTCTGTGTGGGCCCACCTTCCTGGATCTGCAGAAGCCGCCAGACCCCTCTGTTCACACAGCTTCTCGCTGCAGACTGGCCAGCGCCCCCCCCCCGGCTTCTGCTGACACTGATGCACTCACTAGCTTGATATTTCCAGTTTCCATTTGCCTGTTTGATACCCCCTTTAACACAGGGGTTCTTAACCTAGAAACTGAGGTTGGACTTCGCAGGTCTGTGCACGCCTCAGTCGCATGGTTTTGGAGGCTCTGTGGCCAGTGCTGTTAAGCAGGTGGCATCCAGTGTCCACATGGCGGTCGTGACCACTCTTGTCTCCTTTGAGCATTTATTGACCCTGAGATTGGAGCATGGCTTTCTGACGGAGTGACATAGGTTAGCTCTTTGCTTCTTCAGGACTGATGAAACCCATGATGCCCCAGGATTCCCTCAGTGGGACTGGCTGTCGCTCTGAGGATCAGAGCCGCGTGACCCCACTGCAAGAAAGGAAAGTGACCACCATCGACTCAGCCCCTGTGTGGAGCCCTGAGGGCTACATGGCGTTGCAGGGCAAGAGCTACTCGCTTCCCCACCCGAAAGCCAGCGACACTTTGGCCATGGACATGCATGTCAGGTGAGACAAACTGGCCCTACTGCCCTTCACGCCAAGGACGCCTCCTGGTCCTAATTGAGAGGGGCTCTGGGAGGAGGCACTGTCCCAGGAGGCACTGACGGAGGGAACAGGGCTCCGGGAAGGGACCACCAGCGCCTCTGGGGAGGGGGAGCGTGACAGGATTGTTGGGATGCTTTCGCGTGAGAGGCGCTTACCTGATGGCGGGACTGGAGGCCGAGGAGAGATCCTGGGTCAAAGGCAAACCATAGGCAGGAGACGGGGGTTTGGGGGCTCACAGGGCAGGCGGGCTTGAGCGCGGGGTCACGGCTCCTTCATGTGAAAGTAAAGCAAGCTGGCCCAGTGTCCCAGACGTCGCGGACTCCCAGGCTGCATCTTGTTCAAAGCAGAGGATCCCAGCCGCGCTCTGTCTCCGGGTGGCACGCTGAGTCCACCGGCAGCCACTGCGTCTTCGTGCTCTGGACTCCAGGGGCCACCAACCATCCACGCCCCAGCCGCTCTGAGACCTGATTAAAGATAGAGGAAATGTTGGTGCTTATGTTTTTGTTTTTGGTTTTTGGTTTTTGGTTTTTTTTTACATTTTTTTCTTTTGAAAACTAAGCTCTGTGTTCAGCATGGGAAGCAGGAACCAGGCTCCAATCACATTGACTGATTTTTCTGGTTCCTTTTCAGGAATGAAAGCCCTTACTCTGCCTCACCCGGAAGGCCAGGGGGCGTTTTAAGTGCACAGCGCAGTCTCCTTGAGGAGAGAGGGGACGAGCACCTGAGTGCTTTTGACAAGAAGGCCCAAACAGACTTTGACAGCTGTGTCTCTTCTCAAAGAATAGGCCAGGAGCTTTTGTTTCCACCCCAAGAAAATGTACAGGAAGCAGGTGCTCCTGGGGGTCACACCCCAAACCTCAGGTGTCCCCCACTAGAGCCCGACTTTGCCCCAGCTGAGAAAAAGCCAGACTATAGCAATTGGGACGTTAGCCACCAGCCCAAGGCCACTGACACAGCCAACGGTGTTGAGAAGGAGGCGCCCCGGGAGGAGCCGTCCTTTGATGTCTCCTCCTGGGAGAAGGAAGGGAGCCCCAGCAAGCAGCCGCCCCTGGAGCCTGAGTGGACTCCTGAGCCCCGGGGCCAGCACCAGCACCAGGAGCAGACCGGCAGGACCCGGAGGTCGGGCCCCATCAAGAAACCCGTCCTAAAAGCCCTCAAGGTGGAAGACAAGGAGAAGGAACTGGAGAAGAGTAAACAGGAGCTGGGGGAGGAGAACACCTGCCTGGCCCAGGAGAACGCTCCAGTTCATCAGGCCGGAAAGGACGAGGGTGAGGAGAACAGCCCCACGCCAGCCAACTCCCCGCCCTCCGCCTCGGGGGAACAGGGCTTGGCCCGTGTTCATTTGGGCCGCGAGGCCAGCAAGTCTGAGGAGGACGAGAAGCCCGACAGGGCCTGGGAGACCAGACCCCCCCGGGAGCCCAGTGAAACGCCCCCAACGAAGAGGAATAACTGGATTTTCATTGACGAGGAGCAGGCCTTTGGGGGCAGAGGGCAGGCCCGGGGCCGTGGCCGTGGTTTCAGAGAATTCACTTTTCGTGGCCGGCCTGCTGGCAGCAGCGGCCCCAGCATCTGTGGTGGTGGGGTCCTTGGGGCGCGGGGCGTCTACACCAACAGCCAGAGAAGTGGCCGAGGCCGGGGCCTGCGAGAGTTCAGCCAGCCGGAGGACTTCCCCAGAGCTAAGCCCCGGCGACGCATTGCCAGCGAGACCCACAGTGAGGGCTCTGAGTACGAAGAGCTGCCCAAGCGGCGTCGGCAGAGGGGCTCGGAGAACGGCAGCGAAGGCCCACTACTGGACCGGGAGGAGGGCGCCTTGAAGAAGGGCGACTTCAAAGACTCCTGGCGGTCCAACAAGATGTACTCCGAGGAGCACAGTGGTCCGGATGCGAAGACCCGGGGCCCGCGGGCCTTCGGACGTGCACTGCCTCCCCGGCTGAGCAATTGTGGGTATGGGCGGCGAACCTTTGTGTCCAAAGAGTCAGCCCACTGGCAGAGCAAGAGTCCCGGCGCCTGCTGGCAGGAGTGCGGCCCTCCCGATGCATGCGGCTCCCGGCGACCCACAGACAGAGACTACGTCCTGGATGCCTACAGGCACTCGGACTCGTTTAGTGCCAGGGGCTTCGAGGACAAGAGGTCCTTCTTCCAAGACGACCATGTGGCAGATTCTGAAAACGCAGAGAACCGGCCATTCAGGAGAAGGCGCCCCCCGCGCCAGGACAAACCCCCTCGCTTCAGGCGCCTCAGGCAGGAGCGGGAATCCTTGGGCCTGTGGGGGCCTGAGGAGGAACCCCACCTGCTGGCGGGTCAGTGGCCGGGCAGGTCCAAACTCTGTCCTGGGGACAAGAATGGCATTGTGGGCCACAGGTCCCCCGAGCTCTCCTACCAGAACTCCTCCGATCACGCCAATGAAGAGTGGGAGACAGCCTCCGAGAGCAGTGACTTCAGCGAGCGGCGGGAGCGGCAAGAGGGCCCTGGGGCCGAGCCAGGCTCCCAGGTGGGCGGCAGCCTGCCCGGGGCCAATCTGGGGGAGAAGAAGGAGCTGGCCAAGCGGAGCTTCTCCAGCCAGAGGCCCCTGGTGGACAGACAGAGCCGGAAGCTGGAGCCGGGAGGGTTTGGGGAGAAGCCTGTTAGGCCAGGTGGTGGTGACACTTCTCCCCGTTATGAGAACCAACAGAATGGGACGCCTTTGAAAGCCAAAAGGTAAACCAAAAACAAACTCCAGGTTCTTTGTTGCTGTCATGTTGTTCAGCCAGTTTTTTAGCAGCACTTCATGCATGCACGTCCCGCCATGTCAGGGGCCCGACTGTCCATCTGCTCCAGGAGGGCGGCTGCCCACCAAGGCCGCTGTGTCTCCATCACTCGCTCCTGCACCGCTTGTCTGCTTCTCCGTGGCGTTTGGTGGTGGTTGTGGCTTGAAAACCAAAACTATAGTCCCCACCTCAGTGGTCCCGTTATGATGGCTGTCCTAGCACCTGTCCCCAGGGTTCAGCCTTCATGTGTGCCCCGGAGTCCTGCCAAGGGGCCGCTGCAGGAGGAGGTGTTGCCTGCGCGCGGTGCCTGGTGAACACCGGCCAGCCCCCCAGGCTCCTTTGCTCCTGGGCTGTTGCCAGGCACTGTCCTGCTGGCCGCCTGGCCCCATGGAGGCGGCTCATCCCCAACGCGAGGAGATATGGCAGCACTTGGGGGATTGCCATGCGGCGTGGTAAGAGCCAGGCAGTAGCAACAAGGAGTGGGCTGCCTGTGGCCTGGTGAGCATCTCTTGCCCGGAATTAGAGGTTTTGAGGTGGATGGTCTGTGCTTCGTGTCAGCTCATTGCCCCAGAATCAGGGGAGGGGACACCACGTGTAGGGAGCATTCTGTATCATGCACAGGCCAGGCCTCAGCACACCGAGAAAGACAGCGTCCACCTCCCCTCCTTAGAATTCAGGGCACAGAAACCTGGGGTATGGAGCCACAGGACAGGGCTCATGCTTTCAGGTGTCAGTCTAGCTTTCCAGGACTCATGTGCCGAGATGTGACTCTGCTTCTGATTTCTGTCTCAGGAGCCTGTGGTAGGACAGGGCCTCGGCTCCTTGCTGGTCAGTCTCATGTGATAGGAGCAGAAACTTTTGCAGCTGTTCTCAGCACCCTGTCGTTCCTTCCTGGAGCCCTGCTGAGTGTGCACTGGGGGAGAGGAGAAGCATTGAGCCCTGGGCGGGTTGGGGAGACGGCAGGAGTTGTTCCGCAGCGTGCGGTGCAGTGGCCTTGCACATGAGCCTGAGCACAACGCACTGCTGCCAGTGAGCAGCTCCCGCTGGCAGAGGGGACGGCGGAGGGGATGGGCGCAGGGCCCGGCACGTGTGTGCGTGCAGCTGTCCCTTCTCTCTGCTTCCCCAGCCTGTGGCCGCTTCGGAGCTGACAAGATCCTCCTTCCTTTACAGGTCCCCGGATGAGGCCTTACCAGGAGGCCTTGGGAGCGGCCACTACACCCTGGAGCGGGCAGCCCATGCCACCTCAGACATCTCCGAAGCCTCCTGTGAAAAGGCAGAGAAGGAGGCCAAGCTGGCTGCTCAGAGGGCAGGGGAGCAGGGAGAGACCATGAAACAGTTTGACCTGAACTATGGAAGTGAGTCTGGGGCCTCACGTTTCGGGGGAGAAGAGCCCAGGTGAAACTCAGGCCCCGCAGCTCTGTGGGCTGCTGAGTCACCCTTTCACTGAGTATCAGCCTCTGGGCAGACCCTGGGCTACATTCTGGGGCTTCAGTGGTGAGGAGAAACAGGTACAACTCCTACCCTCGCACTGCTCACAGCCTTGCCGAACCCTCATAATAGCCCCGCGGTGCCCCAGATTTAAAGAGGGGGAACCCAAGGCTCAGTGAGGTTCAGTGGTTTTTCCAGGGTCACATGGCTGGTCAGGAGCAGAGCTGGGACTTGAAGTGTGTCTGTCTCCAAAGGCAGTTTCTTAACTGTGGCTTCTTGGGTTTGAGATAACGGTGTGTTGGGGGTATGGGGAGAGCACAGAAATCCCAGTCGGGCTCTGGGGACCCTGATGAACGCAGCGCGGCTCCGTGGAGGTGTCAGGCCAGGCACCGCCCGGCCCCCAGAGCTGAGCTCATGCTTAGATTTCAGGGCCTGGAGGGCTGGGTTGTTCTTGGCGTCTAGTAAGTGGAACACGGTCCTTCTCCTGAAATCCGGGTTTAGATTCCATCATTGAGAATTGCGGGTCCAGCCCAGGGGAGGAGAGTGAGGTGGGCTCCGTGGTGGGCGAAGGCTTCATCGAAGTCCTCACCAAGAAGCAGCGCCGCCTGCTGGAGGAAGAGAGGAGGCGGAAGGAGCAAGCTGTGCAGGTGAGGGGCGCCAGGGGAGGCACCAGAGCCCGGATGGAAGTTCTGAATTAAGCCCTCCCTCCCTAAGAAGGGGAGACCGAAGCAGGGTTTGTTAAGCACGTTGTCCCCAGTGTCCCCAGCGCCCACCATCCCTGTAGCTCTGGGAGCAGGTGGCAGCATACCTGTTCTCAAAGAGTGGGATTTGTCACTGTGACAGCGGTTGAAACTTGGCTGAGCAGGGTGCAGACCTTTGAGAGCCCCCAGGTCATTCTCCCACTGTGCCCCGCCTGAGTGGGATGAAACTTGTCCCTGGAGTCACGAGGGGTGGGAACCCTGTCCTCAAATGGAGTCGGTGGGGCACTGTACATGGCCCTGTTGTCCGGGCTCAGATCACAGTCCATGGCCATCAGCCCTCTCCACATGTGGTTTGTTAGCATCGCAGTCACAGTCACATGTGGTGGGGGACTCGAGAGACGAGTGTCCCAGCATCTCCTGAGCGAGTCCTGGTGATGGGTTTTGGTGCCTTGGACACTTCTTGGGGAAAAATTGTCATTCTTCATGCCTGACATGGAGGCCGGCTTCCGTCACCTGTTTTCTCCTTAGGTGCCTGTCAAAGGTCGAGGTCTTTCCTCCCGTATTCCTCCTCGGTTTGCGAAAAAACAGAACAGCTTGTGCCTGGAGCAGGGTGATGTGACTGTGCCTGGCAGCAGCCTGGGCACCGAGATCTGGGAGAGCAGCAGCCAAGGTGAGAGCGCCATGCTGGGCTCCGCGAGAGAGCGCCATGCTGGGCTCCGCAGCACGCTCACGGTCCCTTCTTAGGGAGCGTCGTGCCTTCGGGCTGTGAACATGTGTCCCGGCGCCCTCTGCTGAGCCAGGGCCAGGTGCCATCTTTGCGCCTGTAGCCCCTGAGCAGATGTGAACTTCCCCTGCCTAGAATTTGGCACTCTACGTGTCCAGTGATCTGGACAAGGGTGGCCCTGTCCCCACCCAGCTCAGGGCACTCAGGGCGTCGGCTTGACGTGCTTTACTGTGTAGAAGAGGTACAGGTGACAAGCAGAGGTGGGAGGAGAACAAGAGAGGCAGAAGTGCCCCATCCGTGCCGTGTGCTCGGTCTTTTCTTCACACACTCTCTTAGGACAGATGACACTGGAGTGCTGCGGACCTTGCTCTTCAGAAAATTTGTTTCTCTAAACTTTAAGAAAGAAATTTCATATCTGATGCTATCTTTCTGGTAACTTTTCATTTTAAAATACAGACCCACTGTACTTGAGCACGTGGGCACGAGGCCCCTCCTAGAGGGCGTGGACAGATCCTCCACTTCCTGCTGTTTTACACAAAGCAGCCGAGGCTCTCAGAGTGAAGTGACTTCGCCTAGAGCCACATGACAAACACCCAACACTGGCTTCTGGGCCTCGATTCTCTCAGTTTTACCACATGGCCTGTCCTCATGTTCCTGGTTAAAATCTTGGTTCCAACACATTGCATACTAACCTTGGAAAATAGTCAACTCTGCCTGAAAGTACGATAACCTGTTAATGTTTATCTCAGGCAGCTAGGCCATGTGAGTGACAGGTGTGGTGTGAACGCCCAGAAACACCTGCCTGCCCGTCCGGTCAGCGGAGTGGACACAACCTGTCTGCTGCTGCCGGCCCTCCCCTCCAGGCTCTGCAGCGCCTTGTGGGTGGCTCCACCCGGGGTCCAGAGGTAGCTTCAGAGGACCCTGTGTCTTAATGGCATGTAAAGTTTTGTGTACATGCACAGGGTCCGTGCCTTTTGTCGGAACCTCAGTGGCCTTTGAGCAAACAAAATTTGAGTAATAGTGGCTTGGATCTTTAAAAAGACTTTATAGCAGCTGCCAGTTTATAGAAATAAGTAGTTGGCTTGAGTGAAGGAAAGCTTCACCACAGCAGAGATAGCGACACGGAATTCTAGCAGGAGTGAACAAAAGTCGCTGGTGTGTTTACTAGAGCATCTCTCTAATTGATGAAATAATGAGAAGCGCGTTTATTGAAGTCGGCCAGAGGATGTTGGGAAATTGGGTAAAGCTGTCCGACCAGCTCGTGTGTGTCAGATCTGTTCATTGGTGTGTCAGGCAGGAGAGCAGGGAGAGCGCTTGGGCTCGTGTCAGCTACCCTATGCTTGTCTCTGCAGCCTGCTTGCTCCTCTTTGATGTCCTGACTCTGTCTTCCTCCCTTGGCAGCCCTCCCCGTTCAGGCCTCCACCAGTGACTCCTGGACTAAAGCCGCCACTGCCTTCAACAGCACCGAGTCTGGCTCTGCCGAGGTGAGTGGCCGCTGTGCTGCCCGGTGCTGTGTGTGTGCCCACCGTCCACGTGGCGAGCTTGTCCTGGGCCTCGGTCAGCCACAGCAGCTGAGCCTGCACGTAGGCTGCGTCCACGGGCCCTGGCTGGTCGCTTGTCTTGTCTTGATTTTCGGTCTATGTGAGGTGCCTACATGAGAGGGAAGAAGAGAAGGGATTACCGGGAACCCACCCTGTGTGTGGCGAGCAATCGAGGGTCTCTCCTTCAAACCTGAGATGGTGGTCACGCTGGTTTGGGTCACAAGGGGCATGTTTGGTCCAGGCCCCCTGCGTATCTCGTGGTGTGTTCGGCCGTGTGTCTTCAGTTGTCAGGGCAGGACTGCACAGGCAGGCGGTTTGGGGGCGATGCGTCTTGGTGCCAGATGCAGTCCCGCTTCCTGGAGAGCCGCGTTTTGGACCCAGGGGCAGGGCTCTCACCTGTCTCGCACCCTGTCCAGCAGGGTTTGAAGAGCAGTCAGGGGGATAGTGGCGTGGACCTGAGCGCCGAGTCCCGGGAGTCGTCCGCCACTTCCTCACAGCGCAGCTCCCCGTACGGCACTCTGAAACCGGAGGAGCTGGGCGGGCCTGGCCTGGACCCCAAGACCGACAGCCACAAGGAGCAGGCTCAGAAGCAGCCTGAGCCAAAGGTAACCTGGGGTCTGGTTACCAGGGGCCAGGGCCTGGGCAGAGGGGTCGTTGTCTTCTGTCTTCTGTCCCGATTCCGGGCGTTTGAAAGTGACAGATCAGGGTCGTCCTCGTCCGCGTGTCTCAGCTTCTCTGCTTTTTCATCAAGGATTCAGAACAAGGCTCAGGACAGAGCAAGGAGCACAGGCCTGGACCCATTGGCAATGAGCGTTCTCTGAAAAACAGAAAGGGCTCGGAGGGGGCTGAGCGGTTGCAAGGGGCCGTCGTCCCGCCTGTGAACGGGGTGGAGATTCACGTGGACTCTGTGCTGCCGGTGCCGCCCATCGAGTTTGGAGTCAGCCCAAAAGTAAGCTGGGATTGGTTTCCTTTCTTCCCTTTGTTTTTGTACTTGGAGAGGAGGGAGAGGCTTGGACAAGGTTGTCTTCCAGAAAGAGCAGGGGGTGTGCTGGCGCGGAGTCTGCACGCAGCGGCTAGTGAGTTGCCTTCCAACTTCCCTGCTGATGGCAGCCTGGTTCTCGGGCGGAGCAGGCCTGACCTCCACTGTCAGTCGGGTCGGCCGTGGGCAGTGGGCAGAGCAGGGAGACAGGATAAGGGCTGGCATCCTTTTCTTGGCTATGCTGTTCACGTGCTGAATGCTGCTTAGTGGATTGTTTTGAGTCGCTGAGACTGGACCAGTTTCCTGTGTGTCTCCGTGAGAAGTGAGCCAGCAGGATCTCAGCGGCTCCCTTCCCTTTCCTGCAGGATTCCGACTTCAGCTTGCCACCGGGCTCTGCCTCTGGTCCCGCAGGGAATCCAGTTGTCAAGCTCCAGGACGCCTTGGCCAGTAATGTACGTCTGCGCTTCCGCCTCCAGTGCTCTTGTCCCCATGCTGGTGGGCCCTGGGCGGGGAGAGCCTCGTGTGGTGTCTGCAGCCAGAGGAGCTGAACCTACCCCGGCTTTGGGGGCAGGCAGCCCTAGGTTTGAGTCATGGTGCGTTTCTGCCTAGTTACCTGTCTTCTGACAAGTTGCTTAAATGTTCCACACCCCCATTTTGTGACCTTAAAATGGGATAATGTGATTCCTAAGGTCTGGTTTGTTTAGCATTTGATTCTTTATTCTTCCAAGTCCCATGGTTACGTATATTGGGTTGTCGGAAAAGTCATGACGTATTTTTTTCTTTGTTTTTCATTGCAAAAATGCATCTTAACTTCCAACAACCCAATATTTGAGGATGCTGGGCTAACCAAGTACTTGGAGGTTTCCCAGAATTCCCATAATGTGCTAAGGGGCCCCACGCATCTGAGGAGGAGGACCTAGCAGTTGTATTATTATCCAGCATATGTTACCAGGGACCTCTTTTTCACTGTCTCCGAGGGGCTGGACAGGACCTGCGGGTCTCCAAGCCAGGTGGTGGGTGCCTGCGGGCTGGTGCCAGTTGTGTTTATGTTGCTGACACACTACTGCCCCTGCTGAGGGCTCTGGAGGGTGTGGGTATGGAGGTGGCTGTCGGGGAACTGGTGAAGGCAGCTGTGGGGAGGCCATAAACTGGTCTTAGCTGCCGCCTGCTTCATCTTGGTTGTCTTAAGTACATACGAACAAAACTGAAGGTGCATTTTGACATGTTGTCTCGCTTCCTCTGCCTCTTTGTGTTCCATGGTTTCCTGTCCCCACTCCAGGCCGGGTTAACACAGAGTATTCCCATCCTCCGGCGCGACCATCACATGCAGAGGGCTATCGGCCTCTCCCAGATGTCCTTCCCCACCGCCGACCTCACTCTGAAGGTAACACGAGCCCCGAGCGCCTTCGCTCGTGAAGAGCCAAGAGCAAGCAGCCCCACCTCTCGCGAGGCCTGGGCGGGAGCCACCCACTGCCCCCCCGGGTAGACTTCATCCCTCCCCTCCCCTTGCCTCCAAAGATGGAGTCTGCGCGCAAGGCTTGGGAAAACTCGCCCAGTTTGCCGGAGCAGAGCTCTCCAGGAGGCGCTGGCTCGGGCATACAGCCTCCGTCCTCTGTGGGCGCCTCCACCGGGGTCAACTACAGCTCCTTCGGCGGAGTGTCCATGCCACCCATGCCTGTGGCTTCTGTGGCACCTTCCGCTTCTCTTCCAGGTACCTCTCCCCGAGCCAGCCCAGGGAGCCATCCCCATTCACTCAGAGAAACACGGGACAAAGTGGGGTAATCACAGATGGCTCGTGCTCCCTGCTCTGGGAAGCAGAACCCTGTGATTCTGTGGGCAGGGCACAAGCAGAGTCAGACCCCGGTTATGTGTTGGGGCCGAGTGGCCTCTGCCAGTGAGCAGCTCAACTCTGAGCTGCAGCCCCGCTCTGTAAAGTAAGCCGGGTGATGCTGGCATTCTGCAGGATAGCCACGCCCATGAGCGGAGGTTGTACCTGGGAAGTGTTTTGTCTCTACTGACCCTCAGTCAGCGGGAGCCATGGTTCTCCTCGCTGTCACCGCCCTCGTCACTGTGTTGGTACCCAGAGGGACTTTGAGGGCCAGCTGCCGAAGTCTCTGTGATGCAATCCCAATAGATCCTTCTGACCCTCCACTGTGGACTCAATAGCAGGGAGATGAAGAGGAAGGTGACTGAGAGACCAAGGCAGCCCTCAACTGCAGTGGAGCCCCTCTTCCTGGGCCCTGGTGCTGAGGGGGGCCAGGGGTACTGCAGGAGCACAGGGCCACAGCAGGGGACTGGGCAGGCCCTGCGCACACGCCCTCCCACCGATTCCCCGGGGGAGCGTGCATGTCCCCTAAAGGGACCCTCAGGAACCTGATCCTGTTCTCCCTCCTCTGACTCTGTTGCCAGGCAACCACCTGCCACCTCTGTACCTGGATGGCCACGTGTTTGCAAGTCAGCCCCGGCTGGTTCCTCAGACGATACCTCAGCAGCAGAGTTACCAACAGGTGAGGACAGCAGACCAGGTGGGACAGTGGGGGCCAGGGGCGCGGCACATGGTGTAGTGGCTTTCTTCGTTTATTCGTCGCCTGTCTCGTTTTCTGCGCCCCTCACATGTGATGCCAACACCAGGCACATCATGGCAGCCAGGAAATGTGTGTTGAATGAATAAGCGAGAGACAAGGAAGAGGAATGGAGCTCAGTGCTCCAGACTCCGCTTAGTTTTCCTTTCTCAGCGTTCTCCTTCCTGTGCCCAAGCGGGGGAATTAGCTGAAACCAATTCTCTTTGGTGATCAGGTCTCCTGATGAAGAGAAGGAAGGCCTAGACTCCCAGGCATCGATGCATTAGAAAGAGGTAGTTTTAGAAATGAGCAGGTATTGTTTTTATGCAGGATTGGTGTACTTTCTCTGCTGCAAGGGGATGATGATTCCTGGAAGTCCCTTGGAAATGGCCCAGCACCCCCAGACCTGTGTGCCTGTGCAGACCGGGACAGACGGGGGGGCTCTTGGGCGGGGGCGCTGCTCAAAGTACAGATTTGGGGCAGAGGACAGGATTCGGCCTGCCCTGACCTCTTTTGAAGACCTGTTGTTGTTAAATATTATAGTGTTTAGTTTTGCAACATTGTGGTCTTCATGTAACTGGATCACACTGCTGTATTCTTCTTTATGTGCATCGTCCAGTCACCATTATGTTTCTGAACTCCACGTGTAGCTAGGATTCGATCTTGCTGCTGTTCAGGAGCCAGCAGAGGAATGGACTGTGGGTGGGGTCGCTGCCAGTTTTTGCTTTTTTCCAAGAGCAAAAGAAGCACAGGAAGGACATGTTCGAACTTACGTTTTGGGCGCTGTTCCAGCTGCCACGGGAAGAGAGGGGCAGGAGGTGGCAGGGGAGAGGGAAGCCAACTTGGAGGGCACTGCAGTGACCGGTCCGGCTCCCCCCACAGGCTGCCGCTGCCCAGCAGATCCCGATCTCCCTTCACACGTCTCTGCAGGCCCCGGCCCAGCTCGGACTGAGGGGCGGGCTCCCGGTCTCCCAGTCCCAGGAGATCTTCAGCTCCTTGCAGCCCTTCAGGTGAGACGGGAGGGGCGAGGGGGCTGGCCGCTCACAGCCAGGGGTTCAGACCTTTGCGGCCTGCACACCTGCTCCCCCTTTGTCCTGCCCTTGCTTCCTGCGTCTCTGCTTTGGGGCAGGGGTCGGGGGCGGTTACGGTCACCTCCAGGTCACTGTTAACGGTTGCAGGAGAGCCCGTGGGCCTGACTCATCGTGGTGGGTGCCCCGTCATCCTGCCCCCTTCCTGGTCCTCGGCGCTCTGCCCTGCCCACTCCTCCCTTCTTCCACGGCCTTCAGCTTCTTCAGTGCCTGATGGCCTGTGTTTTGGGCGTCACATAGGTTTTCCTGGCCTCATACAGCCTGGATGTGTCCGTTTGTTTAACCCAGTGAGGCTCAAACTGTGGTCCCTAGACCTGCAGCATCTAGGAGGTTGTCATAAATGCAAGTGCCCAGGCCCCACGCCAGACTTTGAGTCAGAAACTAGGGGTGGGGCCTGCAGTGGTTTATGCAAGCCCTCTGGGGGTTCTGATGCAGGTTTGAGTTTGAGATCCACTCTTGCCTCCCACACCTGACCCCGACCAACTGTCTGGCCTTTGCAGATCTCAGGTGTACATGCACCCTAGCCTGTCACCGCCCAGCACCATGATCCTTTCTGGAGGCACAGCCTTGAAGCCTCCGTACTCGGCGTTCCCCGGCATGCAGCCCTTGGAGATGGTGAAGCCCCAGTCCGGCTCCCCCTACCAGCCCATGAGCGGAAGCCAAGCCCTGGTCTATGAGAGCCAGCTCGGCCAGCCTGCCGGCCTGGGCGCCTCTCAGATGTTGGACGCCCAGCTCCCACAGGTCAGGAAGCCAGTCACTGCCACCCCCAAACTCCAGGCCTCGTTCCCTCGTGACTGCTTTTCCCTCCTGTCCGCCTCGGATGCGTGCCGACTCACGTGCTGTCTGTAGCCATCGTGGCTGGTCCTTGAGCTGCTTGACCCAGACCAGGTGCCCAGCCTCTTCCGAATCGCCCCGTCACCTCTTTATCCCTGAGACCTGGCTTCCCCTACAAGCACTGCTTCTCCTGTAGCCTCTCCCCGGCCTCGGACGGTGGGGCTTGGAGGTAGGGTGAGTGGCCTGCATACTCACTGATGGTTCCCAGTCCTCCCAGATTTATATCTTCAGCCCAGACCTGTCTTCTGGGCCTGAACTCAAATCCAGTGGGCTGTCTACATCTCTGCTGTAATATCTCATGGCATCTGAAACTTGTGCAAACCTCATGTCCAAAACGTGGTTTCCTTTCTGGTCCTTCAGGCTGTCCGGTTAGTGTCATCCTCAGGTCCCTGCTTCACATGCCCTCGGACCCTTCCACAGGCCCTGTTGGCTCTACACTTGGGAAGTATTCAGAGTCCAGTTACTTCTCATCCCCTCCACCCACTGCCCTGTCCAGGCTGCTGCAGGAACCCCTGCCAGTCTCTGCTTCTGCTGGGCCAGCGCTCCATTCTCAGCACAGCAGCCAGGGGCCTTAAAACACGAGCCAGGTCACTCCACCCCGAGCCAGCGCTTTAGAAATGGCCTCCTGGCCTCGCCTCCATCGGCACCTTGTGCACGAGGCACGTGGGGGGGTGCGGCCCAGCTGCCTGCCACACGTCTCTGTGATGCAATCCCAATAGATCCTTCTGACCCTCCACTGTGGACTCAATAGCAGGGAGATGAAGAGGAAGGTGACTGAGAGACAAAATGTGGCCCACCATTGTCCCCCATCCTGAGAGTCTCCAGGTCCACCTCTCACCCACCTTGTCTGGACGTTGGAAGTGGTCCCGGAGGCCTTGCAGTCACCCCCTGTTCTGTCATGATATGCTTCAGAAGCATCCGGGGGGCTCATTTGGTTCCCAGGACCCACTGAGTCTTGTCCTGTGTGACCTGTGGAGGCAGAGCAGCAGAGGGTGTGGCCTTTTCCTGCTGCGCAGAGGGATGCAAAGGCGCATTCCTGCACTGCCGTCATTTCTAGGGACTTATGTGGACATTGTTTCCCGAAAGCCTCCCTGGCCTTCCCTAACTCCTCTCCCACCCCCCGACCGCACACAGGCTTTGCTGTCTGCACTTGGCACTCAGGGTACCCTGTGACTGTGTCCAGCGTGTCACTGCACTGTCACCACATTTCTGGGTCTGACAGCGTCCTGATGCTTCCCCAGCACATAATGTGCATTCAGTGAGCCTTTGTCGGGTGAAAGCAAGAAAGGCTGGGGACACACACGGCCCTTTGCAGACTCGGAGAGGAGCCGCACACTCAGGCCGTGTGGCGCCGTCTGCTGCTGGCTCGGTCCTGCGGGTCTCCCGCCATATACCTGCCCCCTCCCACCGAGTGTGAAATCCAGGCTACTCTCTGCTGCGCACTAATAGGAGCCCAGAGTCCTTCCTGCTGTGTGAAGGCCTCGCTTTAATTCTTCCAAAATAAGAACTTGAAGTAAAACGTGGGCACTCTTGGGTGCACGTGGAAACGGTGGTTTGTGGCTCCCACCATTCTTCCTCCTGACTGTCCCTGTTGTCCAGCAGCTGACGATGCCCCTGCCTGGCTCCCAGCTGCCTCTGCCTCGGTACGGCTCCGGGCAGCAGCCCCTGATCCTGCCACAGTCCATCCAGCTGCCGCAGGGGCAGAGCCTGTCTGTCGGGGCCCCCCGAAGAATTCTTCCACCCGGATCCCAGCCTTCGGTCCTTAACACCAGCAGAGAGGTGAGCCTCACTCTGGCCTGCTGTGATCCTTGGGGGGGGGGGGGTCCTTGTCCTATCAACCCTTTCGAGTTAGTCAAAAACGACTGTTGTGACAGAAAACCAGAGGTCGGGGTGCGAGCTCCTGGCCTCACCACACCACTGATTCCTTGCTCGTTGGGAAGTCCTCTCAGGACGCCGTGGTGGGAACCCCCACTTTACCTGTAAGCTAGTGACGTAAACAAGCTTGGGTGTGCGTGAGATGCCCTGGCTGAAAGGGAGGTGTGTGTGAACAACGGCTGAGTCCTCACCTTGGCCGGGGACGCACCTGGAGATCCAAATAGAGCTTGTCTGAGGCTGAGGTCCAGGTACCTGCGTTCCTCTCTGGTTCTTGGGGCTTCTGCCGAGGACGGCCTCTCGGGTAGAGGGGTCACAGTCACAGCCAGGTCAGTGCCCCGTGGCGGTGCACAGTCAGGCTCCCCGCCCCACTTCAAAAAGAACAACCCGGATGGTTCCTGTTTCTACAGGAAAGACCTCCAGCCTGGATGGGAGGGGGGGAGCGCAGGTTCCTTTAGAAGATGCCTCTCTATCCAGAAACTCTCGGGGGCCCACACCAGCTCTGCGCAGGGCAGGTCCACGAGGGCCATCAGGTGGCAGTGTTCACTTCCTGGTCTCTTTAGTCCTCTCAGATGGAGATGAAGGGCTTCCACTTTGCCGACAGTAAACAGAATGTTCCTTCAGGAGGCTCCGTGCCGTCACCACAGACCTACAGGTAAAGACATGCCCACGGGGTGGGGGTTGCCCAGAGTCGAGCTGTGGTGTGGGCAGGGGGTCTGTGCACCAGAAGAATCCGAGGGCCCGGGGAGAACAGCGCAAGGGCACTGAGGCTCGGTCCCCTTTGTGGCTGATGTGTCACATGGTGTTCCAGTGCTGGAACACGCTTGTGCTGTAGTTAGCCATGGGAAAACTAGGACTTGGGATCATCATAAAATGCCCTGGATTGGGAGAGCTTTCTGGAAAGGAGGAAAAGGAACAGCAAATCTTTTAGTAGTGTCGGGACCAACCCTGACTGCTTACAGCTTTCTCACCATCTTGTACAAAAGAATTCACTGGCCAAGGAGGCACAGACCTTGGAAGAGGAGGGGTTTCCTTCCCCGGGGCTGTGTTTCCAGGGCCCCTGGACTGGCCCTTTGACCTGTCACTGCTGGGCCTGTGGGCCACGCCTTACGCAGGACCAACTGGCACCTCCTTGCTTCCTCTACCTGCCTCCACCTCCAGTAACTGGCCCAGGTCCCTTAACTGGATTGGGACATGGCTTTGTATGAATTCCTTTGTTGAATTACTTACTTCTTGAGAAGTCAGAGAACCCGTGGTTCTGTAGGGCTGCGAAGGCAGCGTGCTCTGGCTTTGGGCCCAGGGGCTGGGACAGTTGACTCTTGTTACATGTTTGTAATGAGTTACACAGACACGCGTGGCATGCCGTTCCCCGTGAGGCCAACAGCGGGGCTTCAGAGCCTCAGCGGTCCTGACCAACTGTGGAGCTCTCGCAAATCACATCACCGCCTTTGCAAGCCATCCTTGTCATGGTCACTGTCCCGCTGCTCCTGAAATGTCGAGGCTGCATCCTCCTGTCACATCATTCCATCCTTCCAACCACATTTCCAGAGAAAGGGATTTTTGTGAATTTTTCCCCATTTCATCATCTTTTCTTATTTTCACTCTTTCGGCTTCACTTATTTTTGTCTGTTAGTTTGCTTTGTTTCCAATCATATTTTTCACATAAGCCAAAACAACAGAACTGTAAGAAAAATATATACGTGGGCAGCAGCACAGAACAATGACTGTAGTTTGAAAGAAAGAAGGAAGCCTGGAGTGTGAACATGCTGTCATCTCCCAGCTGTCACAGGCTGACTCAGCAGCTGGCTACAGAGCCGTCCCTGAGCCAGTCCAGACAACAGAAGCCCACATAACAAGAGTCACCTGTGTCCCTGTAGTGTGTCCATGGCAGCAGCTTTATTCCGTAGAGATTATTTAGAAAATACATTACTAACTAGTAGCCTTTGTTTTGTTGGTGTTTCATTGGGGTTGGGAAAATTTGTGTATTTTTATGGAGAAGTATTAGGTTGTCGGAAAAGTCATGAGGCATTTTTGCAACAAAAAAAAACAAAAAATTCGTCATGACTTTTCCGACAACCCAATATTTCCCAAGTTTTCTGGAAACAGGGCTGCTAAGGCATGCCCTGCCAGTAAGGGGTTCCCTAGTCAGGTCCCCGGGGGTGTGCTGTGTGGGGCAGCCGTGCCCCCCCCCCCCCCCCCCCCCCCCCCCCCCCGTCACTGTCCAGAGCCCTGTGGAACTCTGCACACAGCACTTCTCATGCTTTTTTATGACGAAATCTTTTTTCACGTAGCACCTAGTTAACGTCCCTAAAACTATTAATAGCTGTCTGGTCAATGGAACACGTTTAGAAAGATGCTCTACGTGTTCATTCCTTTTGGTGTCTCTCTGCACCCCACCCACCCCCACCAAAAAAAAGTGGAGATTAGAAAAATACTTCGCGTAATTCTTATGTCAGGTTTATAGACATTTTGTCTGCTCATAGAATCATGTTTGTCCAGACCCTCCAAACCCTGAGAGACGGTTAGTATCCGTCCATCCATCTGGTCACGCCTGCCCGCAGTAGGGACTCGGCCTCTGCCCCTCGCGTGTGTCTCCGTGAGCCGCATTGGAGGTGCCAGGCCGCCGATGACGACCGCCCTCGGCCCTTCTGCACTCTGGCTGTCCGAGGTCTTTGTCTTCCTCCTTCAGGAGGTCCGCGAGCCCAGCCAGGGCCGCCGCGCCGGGCTTGACTCCGTCTCCGTGGCGACGCGTGTGTTCTCACCCCCTGCCTTTGGTTTTTTCAGGCCTAGCTCTGCTAGCCCCAGTGGGAAGCCCTCTGGATCAGCAGTTAACATGGGCTCTGTGCAGGGACACTACGTTCAACAGGTAGAAGATGGCTTTCCAGACCCTGCAGCCCCGGGCGCTTAGGCCCATCTCAAGCGCCAAAAGAGAGGGACTGCCCACCCCTTTGCGTGCTACTCTCGTAAAGAGAGTCATGCCCTACACTCAGAGCATGGCGCCAGGCACCAGACGCCCAAGTCCCTCCTGCTGAAGGCGTTGCGCCTCCTGACGGGCGTCTGGATCCTTCCTTGTCCTGCAGAGAAGGGAGGATGCGGAGTCGTGAGGAGGCGACGCCAGATCCCTCGTAGTGATTTGGGCCGTGAAGGCGTCAGGTCTGTGGGTCGGCTCTGGGAGCCAGGCGCGTGTGTGAGCGTGTGTGCGTGCGCGTGCCAGCTCTAGTAAGTGCCGTGTCTCGTCTCTGTCCGGCCGGGAGGGCTCCAGGTGGAATGGCGTTTTCTCATTTCATAACGAAAGGTATTTCTCTGCCATCTGGCACTGTCCTCTTCGCTGCCACTCTAAAACGTGCCGGGACTCCAGAGCCCCGACCTGTCAGGCGTGAGTTTTAATACAGCAGCGTTCCTGGCTGGCGGAGGTGGAAGGTGACTGCTCGTTCATTCCTCTTGACTTGCTTCCCGGGAGGGTCGCTCCATGAATTGCTTGGACTGAGCTTCTAGAGCTTTCTTCCAGAGTCCACACCACGGTGTGGGGGGATATTCGAGGCTGGTACCTCTGACACACTCCCCTGTGCAGACCTGCTGATTAGTGGGACCCTGACTGGGAATCTTGAGGTCAGACTCATGTCCTTGGGAAAGGTTCCCACGCAGTGTGAGTAGGGAGGACCAAGTCTGCCCGGAGGCCCGCGCCCCTCATCAGACGCCAGGTCTCCTCAGGGCCTTTGTCACCCACCTGCGGGCATGGGGTGCACTGATTTGTAAGGGTCCTTCCGGTTGGCCATGGGCGTGCCGCTCCTGCAGAGGCCCATGGGCACAGCTCCTGGAGGGCCCGGCGTCCTCCTGCCTCTGAATGACTGCACTCAGCGCCCCGGGGAGGGGGCAGCAGCGTCACCATGTCCTTGCTAGGAGAGTCGCTTCTAAGTCTGTCCTCAGCTGAAGGATGGCCGTTAGGGTAGCTTTCTCTGTGACTCAGGAGCAGGGGTAGGGGGTGGGACTATGTATGCAGACAGCTGTTTCTGCGTAAGGGTGACTTCTCTGTTCCCATTCATCTGTCCAAAGGCAAAACGAGTGGATGAAAAACCCAGCCTGGGAGCCGTGACACTGCAGGAGGCCCCCTTGGCCGCCTCCCAGATGAAGCGAACCGGAGCCATCAAGCCTCGGGCGGTGAAAGTGGAGGAGAGCAAGGCCTGAAGGTGCTCGGCCAGCCACGCCTCACCCCATGAGGACAGTGCCGCCACTCTGGCTCAGCGCCCAGGATGCTTAGAATCTCAGCAGACCTGCCGTCCACCTGCCTCCATCCTCCTGGCCCGGACTGAGAGACTCCCTTCTCCTCTCCACTCCCGAAAGCTCCGTTGTCCAGCCAGCTTGCACCGTGGACCTGTGGCGTTGACCTGCTTGCTTTAATACGAAACAAACGGCTCCCTTCCCGTCTGCTTTCCACCCGCCCTGACAGTGATGGCAGAGTAGCCTCCCGCCCTGCCCCCTCGGTCCTGCTGCTCAGCCAGGGTGCGCTTGGCAGTGCTTCCTCCCCTCCCGGCCCCAGCACAGTGGTTTGGCAGCAGGGTCTTTAGGTTGAGGCTTTTTGTTTTAAAAAGCATCCAAGGTTTTTACAAAGGAGAAAGGAAAAGAAAACAAAACGCAAGCTATGTGTGTGCAGCTGGACTTTTCTCTGTTCTCCGCCAGCCTTTCCCTGAGCCCTCTTCTGTCCCAGCAGTTTCTTTAACCCCTCTACTGTTTGGTTTGATACATCACTGCGCGGTACCTTAAGAGATGACTCGTGTGTCCCCTCCTGCCCTCTTGGTGGTTAAACTTGGAGGGCGTTTGTGAAAGGAAGAGGTTACTTAAGACACAGCCCGTGATGTTCTGAGGTCCAGCTGCGTGCTCTCAAGCAGTGGCAGGAGCGGTAAGGGGGGCTTGGGTCTCAGCTGGGTTCCAGCTCCTGGCCCGATGACCGCAGGGAGCTCACAGGGAGCCCGATGCCGTTCAGCATAAGAATCACACAGAATTTCCGTCCTGGACTCTTCTAAAGCTGGTGGATACGCTGACTGCTGGCCCCGGAGGTGAATCATGGAGATACAAAGTCACTGGTCTTTTCTGGTTTGGCCTGGACAGTGCGAGCTGATAGCACCACAGGCCATCAGCGTCTCTGTTTGTGCGGCTCCAGCACCTGCAGGGTCTGCTGTTCCCACACGCACCCCTTTGCTGCAAGCCTTCCATAGTATGCCCTTCTCCTGCCTTCTTCCCGAGCCTCTTCCTCGGCAGGCTCCTGGTCCTCCACCCCTCACGCAGCTACTGACTAGAAACCATGAGGTATGTCTCCGGGGTGACAGGTGTGCACAGACGGCGTGTAAGGCTGCTGATAGGGCTTCCTTTTTCTCCTGCTCTTTCCTAGCAGCAGACCCAGGCTGTTGGGACACAGGGGCCTGAGCCAGGGCAGGGTCCAATGAGAGGGCGTGTTCAGGGCTGACGTGGTTCCAAACACAGAAAGGCCAGCCTCCTAGGTCTGCAGAGCCGCCTCTAGCAAAACGTTCGTGAGCCATCGTATGCTGAGTGTTTCTCATTTGTTTTTAAAATAAGAACTAGAAGGAAATCATCCCAGATTCTGTCATTCCAAGGGAAGGGGAGGGGATAGTTCAAGTTTCATACATGCCCTTCAGATAGCTCATCAGCCCTCTACGTAAAGGAGCTGCTGCCTGCACTGCTGGTGGATCCAGGGAAGACCTGGCTTGGAGGACCAGCAGTCGGTGGGCGGGGATGTGCCCCGCAGAGTCCACCCTCTGTCACCACAGGCGTGTGACAGCCATTCAGACTGGGTTTCTGAGCTGTGTCCGGTGTAGAACATGGGGAAAGCACCTTGGGAACTGCTGCCGTAACTCTTGGAGTTGCTTTTTACTGCTTGAAGGAAGTGGGGGAACAGCCCCCTAGCACAGGTTCCCGGCTCTCATCCCGGCGTCATCTGGAGAGGGCCAGTTCTCCTGCAAGATGCTTTACTGCTTCATCTGTGGCGTTGAGCTTTTCCTCTTTTGCCTCCACCCTGAGACCTTACTTTTTACCTGCTTGTCTTTTTTTTCTTCATCTCCTGATCTTTACTCTGAAGTCTCCACTCGAAGGGCTGCCCCCTCTCACCTGCTCCGTGTGCTCATCTGCTCCGCCCTTCCTTCCCCTGCAGACGCCAACCGTTGTCTCAGACCAGCTGCCCCGGCTGTAGCCCCGCTCCCCTGCCTCCATTGCCCGGATGCCCCCGTGGGAGCCACACACTGCCGCCTGTGCGCTTAGAAATACGGCCAGACCCCACACCTAAATCCGGTGCACAATGTACGTCCAAAGGAAAAAGGTTTTCTCAGTTTGAAATCCACAGAACAGTCCTGGATGCTGTTACAAACTCAAGATATGCCCTCCAGGTGATCCTGCCATCAGAGTGACAGTACTTCCTGTTTGAGAAAAATTTAAAGGGTCACCTGTTCTCCAGCCCTTTTCTCTACCCATGTCCTGTCCCCCCCCCCCAATAAAAACAAAACACTAGAATTTATTTATATGTATTGATGTTGTAGGTCTAGGTGAAGAAAAAGTACATGTTTCACTGCTCTATTTATATATAATGTCTGAATTTTTCTGTGCAGGAAAGGCCAGGAAATTGCATGTGAAGTTCAGTGCTTTCACCACCTCTGTGTGCCCAAGCTGCAGTCTCTTTCCCACTAAGATACAGGTTTTAAATTGGAATGTGGGGGCAGAGGGTAGGCCCCAAGGCCTGCCCAACACCCCGTCCCTTCCTTGGTCTGATTAAATGCAGTTTTTAGTGCAGAGATGTTTGAAGGTGCAATACCTCTCTTCCTTTCGTGTGGTTTTAGAGCCAAGCTCAACGTAATAGGACTTAGGGTCTTATTTTGGTTTCAAACCCTGTCCTCAGATCACAGGTCCATGCAGAGGCCTCTGCCAGGACGTCCTGGAGCCTTTGGCAGGAACAGGCGAAAACCTGGAGTTACCTTTCCTGTTGCTCAGGTGGAGGTGGTGTCAGAGCCCTCTGCACCTCTGCCTGCTAAAATCGCCCTCCGTCCTGATGCTGGCGGCTTGGCCCTGGCCATTGACGGTTTAGCCCGTTGCTGGGCCACCAGTGGCCCTGCAGTAGTGTCTGTTCCTGTCAACTACTCGGGTGAGATCCCAGAGGGGTTGTGTATCCAAGAGGCGTCACCCACCCACTGAAGACCTCTCTGCCAGCTGTATTTGGTCTGGTTTTCTTTACTGTTGTTACCCCCACCCCCCTTTATCCACATTATTGTTTTCAAACTTGCAAATCATACACTTCTGGTTCTAGGTTCCTTAAGGGGGAAAACAATAACTCACACAGAAAAATCTGTCCGTTTTGAAAGCCGTGGTTTTTCCAGCCACTTGTAGGGATACTGAGGTATCTCGTTAGCTATTGGTATCTATTCTCTCCAGCAGTGCCCTCGCCTCCTGCCTCCTGGATCTGCCTTCTGGATGGTGGATGTTTGTGACGGATGCTTAGAGCCAAGGAGGCTGAGCGTGTGCAGACGCGTGCACAGCTGGCCCACGGAGGCAGTGTGTGGCAAACTGGTCAAGTCCCCGCCCTGTTGATTGGTTCCCCTCCACCAAGAAGCTGTACGCTGCCTCTCCTCTGTATTTGTCCCTTTTCACTTGCAGAGCAAGCTTAGGTTTGAAGGTCGATTGGAAATGGCCTTCAACAAGCAAGGATACTAAAGTGTTTGTGCTTGGTCATGTTCTCTTGTGAATGGCAATGCAGACTCCTGAAAGCCAGCTCTTCCTGTTAGCACATGTGAGATGGACCTAAGACAAACACATCATATGGAACAGGAGTGGGCTCGGTGCTGGGATCAGACACTGTCCCCTGGCTGCACTCTCCACGGGGACCACCAGCGTGGATTGGGCTAGTGATCTTCCAGACGCGTCCAACCTGCTGTTCACCGTTACTCCACCCCAGTTGAGTGGCCTCCAAGAGGGTAGCATCCCCAGGGCCCTGTCTTCAGCATGTTACGAATCCTCAGAGTAGAAATTTCTATTAAGGCTCTGTGTGGATTACTTTCTTCCATTGTTTAAAGGGGATACTGTACTGTAAGCTTTTGACCTCATGCCTTGCATAGTAAAAAGGGTTTGGGGGGGGTGGGTTTTTCTTGAAGGGGGTTTTGTTTCCTTTTGTTTTTATTTTGGCCTTTCCTCTCTGTGTCTTTTCATGTAGACCAGATATTTGAAAGGGCAGACGATGGCTAAAGGTGGAATGTGCAGCTTGTTTATACATTATTTTGGGGAAGCTTTTACCTAGGATGGGAAATGGTATCATGGATTCACCAGGCCATGGTGGCGCTCACCCTTCACCCTTTCCCTCCGATTCAGTACCTATTGTTTCTCCTTTCAAATATGTGATTGTACTAGCTCTTTCCATAAGAAAGGATTCTCCTTATTTAAATAAAAAAAGTTAAAAAAAAACAAAAACAAACTAAAGCTGAACATGCTTTCTCAGGTTTTGTGTCCCTCCATTCTGTCATTTGACTAGAGAGACAAATACAAGTTTTCGCTTTAGAGACAGTTTACATTGGAAGTTAGGAGTGACTTGGCTGGAATGCTTTAAAACAATATGGGGAGAAGAGAGATTGAAACCTGTGGTTAAGGAGCATCTTCCAAATGGGTTGGCGTTGATTCGCAATCCTCAGCCTCTGCCCATGGCCGCCGGCTGCCCGCTGCCCTCCCCCCACTTCGCAGGGAAGGAGGGTGCGTCAGAGGAGATAAGCATCTGCTTCCTTGTGTTCTGTTGGGGAATCGAGTTCCCTTTTGCTGGAAGGAGAGGATCGTGCTCCCCTTTGGGACAGGAAATAGGACCGGCCAGGCAGGACAGTGACGGGTCAAGAGCTTGGATTTGGGTTCAGGCAGTTCTCAGCTCTGCCATCTAGCTGTGTGGCCTTAGGAGCCACTTCATTCCTCGGTCACCGTTTCCTTAACTGTGAAACGGGGGTTGTAACTACCTACCTTTTGGGGCGGTGCGGATTCAAAGACGTCGTGGGCAGCCCTCGGCCTACCGCCTGGCACCAGTTACGCATGTGCACAACTTACAAACTGTCCCCAAGTAAGCTGAGCAGTTTCGGGGAGGAAAGCCCGCCCCCAGGCAGATCCTTTCGAGCCTCTCGACTGGAAGGCTGGGACCTGGGCCTGCGCGTCTCCCAGCTCCAGCGCCACACCCACTCCTGGACTCACCGCCCACGGGTGTCCCCACAGCTCCAGGCGGCGGCCGGCCCAGCCCCGCCCTCCCGGGCCGGGAGCCCTCGCCACAGCAGGCTGAGCCCCGGCTTCTCTCCCGCGTTGGGCGCCTAAGTCAGAAGGAACCATGACGTTCTTAACCGATGTCGTCTACCGCGGGGCTGACCAACGTGAAAAAAGATAACCTTGCCAACAGTCAAGACCCATAATGGCTGTTATTAAATCCGCAGGGGCCGTTTCGTCCTCACTAACGTGCACGTAGAGGAGGGATCAGGAAGGGGCGGGGCTGAGGACCAGGCTCCTCCTCTCGGTTAACCGTCCGGGTCTCCGTGCGGTTCCGACGACGACACGGGAGTGAATTCCTTCAACCGAAGGTGCTGCGGGCCGGGCAGGCTCGCGGGACACGGTGGGTCCGCGCCACACTGGGCAAAATGCGGATGTTTTAAAAGATGTTTGTGTGTTCATAGGAATCCCGGAACGCCAAAACCGCTACTAACATGCTAGAGAGAGCGGGCGTCTGCGTAGCCTGTGACAAAAATCCGTGAGGCGCTCGCCCAGTGCGCATGCGCGCTGCGGAGCCCCGCAGGCGGGGCGAATCGAGCGCCGAGCAGGGCGGTGCTGAGTGCCGAGTGGCTTCGCCCGCGCCCTCGCGAGGCTGGAGCCTCCAACCGTCTTCGCACCTCGGCGGATCCCAGGTGTGGCCGAGCCAGGGGACAGGCTCTCCAGGGACTTCAAGAAACACTAGTACGTTTGCAGCACCGGGGACGAGAGCCCAGTTGGGACCCGGGCGAGTCAGTGCCGGAGGCGCATGCGCGGCCTGCGGACGAGCTGGAGCCCGGGGCTTCGGGTCCTGGCCGAGCAGGGGGCGGGGCCGAGGGCAGGTACGCCCGAGAAAAGGCGGGGGGTGGGGGGGTGTCTGCTGCTAGATGCAGTCTCGGGTGGAGAATAAGGGCGCCGTGACAGTTGAACCCGGGGAAAGAAGCGGCGCACCCAGGGGCCGGTGAAACCTTTGGGAAACAGTGGCCCGGGACCAGCGCAGCCTGCGGAAGAGAAATGGAGCGGTCGGGAAGAGCAGCGGGGCCTGCCAGGCAGATGCTGCTTCAGGGAGGGAAGGGGCGCTTCCAGGACAGGTGTTGCCATAAGAGAGGTGGCGCTCAAGGGAAGACGAAGCCTCAGGGAGGCAGCGGGGGCGACCGGGTGCAGATGTGCCCTCGGGATGAGAAAGGGGGCGCCGGGGGATGGTGGTGCCCCAAGGAGGGAGGCGCTTTGGGCAAGATGGGGCTCTGAGGCTTAGAAGCTGGAGGTCAGAGGGCTGTAAGCCGGCCACCCTGCCCCGGTGGGCGCGGAGGAGGCCGCTTCCTTCATTAAGAATGGCCTCCCCCCTCAGCGGGTGGGCCTGGACCCAGTTGTTGAATGAGTGAATGTTCTTCAGTCTTGAGGTTTCCGAGTTCCCACCTTGGGTGACTGCTGGTGCCTCCTGACTTCCGATGACCCCACAACCTGGTTCTCCCTGGTGCATCTGGGGTCCTTTTCCTGGTGTCTGTGAGCCTCCCTGGTTGCCACCCATTCACTGATGACAGCTCTTGCCTTCTTTTCCAGGGACTTCTCCCGGGCCTGCTTTTCCACAAGATGTTGGGATTTTTGCAGCGCCCTGTGGTGGTCACGGCTGATGTCAACTTGAACATCGTGGTCCTGACCTTGATGGGGTTGCTGAGCCGACTGTGGCAACTCACCTATCCAAGGGCTGTGGTGTAAGCCAAATGCCTTTCAGGGTGAATGGGAAGGAACTGTAATTTGTTCAGCACATTGGTGACAGGAAGTGCCTTTTTTAAACAGCATGAATGGGAGCGTGAAATTCCGGGCTTCTTGGTGATGGGTGTTTTTTGACAGAGGACTGACTGGTTTGTCCTCAGAAAAGCCCCTGCAGAGTGCACCTGCTCAGTCTTAGGTCTGTAGCCAGATACAGTAGCCTCAGGTGACCATTTAAGACTTAGACAGTGGAGGACGAAAGATTGAGGAATTTGGAAGTATTGATAATTCCTCACTGACCTTATAATGTGTTCTTTTTTATAATGGGAAATGATTACTTTTACTATTAAAGGGCTCTTTATTATCTGATTAATACACGTGTTCTTTTTTGCTTATCTTTTTATTATGGAAAACATCTACAAACAGAGGAAGAATAGTATATTGACTCCCTCACCAGTGTATTATTCATCACCCAGTTTCAACAGTTAATCAACTCCTAGCCACCCACGCCCTGCAGTGGATTTTTTTTTTTTAAGCAGATCATAGACATTATATTTCATTCATAAATAATTTAGTATATATCTCTAAAAGATCTGGATTCTTAAAAGCCACACGACCACAGTAGCATTACCTCACCTAAAAAAATTGACCGCCATTCCTTCGTGTCATCATCTGAAAATGTTTTGATGCAGTTGATTCCTACGTGTTTCCTTTTTATACCTGCGACCATTTTGTTGGGTCACGAGGTCTGATTCTGACTTTTGGCCACAGACATGCTGGTGGACAAGGGGATTAGCCTCGTGTCCGTGAGGCCTTTCAGTGGGCTGGCTCACGCACCCCCAAATCGAAAACGGGAGAGAAATAGAATCTGTCAGGAAGGCCCCCAAAGTGCCTGACTGAGCTTGGCGAGCTCTCCTTCCTGTCCTTGTGGATGGATGATGCCACACACATTTCTTCACATCTGGGGACCCGGGGTAGTTGGTGCAGGAGATCCGACTACTGCTGACCACGCCCTGAAGTCATCTGGAAACATAGGCATACATGTATCTTGGCGTCTTTTGTTTACAGCTGAGATTTAGAGTGAAATATAATGTGAATTTGTTTTTCAGTTTCGATGAAGTATATTATGGGCAGTACATCTCTTTTTACATGAAGCGGGTCTTCTTTTTGGATGGCAGTGGACCGCCCTTTGGCCACATGCTGCTGGCCTTGGGAGGTAGGATCCTTTAAAACTTGTAGGTGGAATTTCTGGAGGGCAGAAGACCCGCCCTGTTTATTTACCATTGTGTCCTGGTTGCCTGCGCCCCTGAAATATTGCTGAATGGCGTCGTTACTGATTAAGCCTCTATTTTAGGTTATTTAGGAGGATTCGACGGTAACTTTTTGTGGAACAGAATTGGAGCAGGTAAAAAGATTGTTTTCACTTCCCTTGTTCATGTGCACATATTAGAATGGAGTGGCAGTGGCTTTCGTGGGAATTCACAACTGTGGCTTACCAACCTAAGTCCAGGGTGTGAGAAATTGTTTGGGTACCAGTGAAAGACTTGCGAAAAGCCTGGTGACTATCTTAGTGTTTAGTTACAATAATTATTTTATTTCTAGTTCTTGGCACACAGGGCACGCACTATGTGGCACCTAATCTCACCTTTTGTACGTGTAAATTATGTGTGTGGCCACAATATTTTTAGAAGTAGGTGGGGTAAATTTATAAATCAGGATTAACTAATTTCAGGTCCTTACTCATCATTCCTGCACTGAATGAGAGCTGGCCCTTGAATATAAAGCTCATTTCAAAGCCTTCGGAGCTGTACTGCATACTGTGTCCCTCATGAGGTCCCCGGGCTTATACGCTTTGGTTTTAGCGCCTAGGATTGTGACGCTCTGTGAAAACCCCTGCAGTAATGACGGCAGTGTGTGCACAGTGCTCAGCCCTGCTGTGGTTGCCTTCTAGAATACAGCAGCAACGTGCCCGTGTGGTCCCTGCGCCTGCTGCCGGCCCTCGCGGGGGCCCTGTCGGTCCCCATGGCCTACCAGATTGTGTGGGAGCTCCGTTTTTCTCACTGTGCCGCCATGGGAGCTGCTCTGCTGATGCTCATCGGTGAGACCTGGGCGTCTGGCTGCCTTGATGTGGTGCTGGGAAGAACCGAGCGCTGGCCTTTGTCACGTTTCAGTGTGTGGCCCTGGAGAGCTCAGGGCTTAACAGATGTGTTCCGTGCAGCAGCCTCTACTCATCCGATTTGTCCACGTGTGACTCTGGGAGTCACCCCACTCCCAGCGTGTGCGGCCATACAAATTGGGGCACCCAGGCACGCACCTGCGTACGCTTACTGATAACCTCCCTCGTTCCATCACCTCCCAGGCCTCTGTCTGGGTGTTCCTCAGAAAGAATCTTCCAGCCCAGGTTTATAAACAAATGAAATTAGCTCACATATATAATAAATAAAAAGAACTTGTGTTTACTGAGTGATGGCTCTGAGGCCCTGTGCTGCCCGAGTTAGAACATTCACAGCGGCCCTGCACAGTCAGTTTTACTTCTGCAAATGAGGAAAACGAAGACTCAGGAAAGCTCAGTGACTTGTCCAAGGTCCCACAGGTCTCAGCAGGCGTGATTCACCCCTAGGGATCGGCCTTCATGGTCTAGAGCGTGTCCCCTTCCAGCCACCCTGTGTTTGATCTTCCCACCTTCACAGTCTGACACATTGGATGTATGTTTTCTTTGTGGGTGTTTACGTTGTCATACGTTTGCTCTTTGGTTCCTTACAACTGACTTACATCATCTTTCCAACAGAGAACGCTCTGATCACCCAGTCAAGGCTAATGCTTTTGGAATCAGTGCTAATATTTTTTAACCTATTGGCCGTGCTGTCCTACCTGAAGTTCTCCAACTCCCAAAAACACAGGTATGGAAAACGGGATGTGTCCTTCCTAGTGACAGAGGAGTCTGGGTGGTCCGTCCACCTGAGATGGGCCAAGGCCTTTTCCTTCTGGGCAGCTGCTTGCTCACTGCCTTTCAGTCACCGAGACTGGCCTTTGGCTCATGACCTCATAAATACATCCTCATTTTTCTGTAACTTAAACTAACTGGAGAAACGTTGTGGCCAAGAAGGAAACCTGCCAAGACTGATGTTTTGGGAGGTGAGGGTCCATTTTCCTTGTACCTGGACCTCGGTGCAGCCAGCTGACCCCAAGAGGTCTCCGAGCCTTCAGGGGACCCTTGGTGACCTGTTCCCAGCTCTCCTCCGCTCTGCCCCCAGGCCTTTCTCCCTGAGCTGGTGGCTGTGGTTGATGCTGACGGGAGTGGCCTGCGCCTGTGCTGTTGGGTGAGTTTGGTCCAGGGGTCTGAGGTGGCGTCTGTGTCTGCCCCGGGCTGTGTCTCACGGGCGCTTTCTCTCCATCGGGCTTTTCAGCATCAAATACATGGGTGCCTTCACTTATTTGCTGGTGCTCGGGGTTGCCGCTGTCCACACCTGGCACCTGATAGGGGACCGGACTTTGTCAAATGTAAGAGCCAACAGCCTGCGCGGGGTGCTGAGGAGGGTGGGATGGGAGGACTGGGGTGTCCGGTGGAGAGGCTTGAGAAGACAGGCCTGGGAGGAGGGGAGCTGACCCCCCCCCGCCGCTCCCCTCCCCCAGCCTGCAGTGCGCATGTGGGGTGGCGGAGTGTGACCCCTCCCTGTCTGGCAGGTGTCTGTGCTCTGTCACATGCTGTCCCGCACGGTGGCGCTTGTGGTCGTCCCGGTCGTCATGTACTTGCTCTTCTTCTACGTCCACTTGATTCTGCTCTACCGGTCTGGGCCCCACGACCAGATCATGTCCAGCGCTTTCCAGGCCAGCCTAGAGGTAAGAAGGGACACGCCACAGCCACCTGAGAAAGGACCTCAGGAGACGCAGAGCTTCTTATAGAAACACCATCAAATGAGCATTAGAGGAAAAGGCAGATCGAGAAATGAGGAACTCGCTTCAGTGTTTTGAACTAGTTCTGACTACACCGATGGTGTGGGAAGAGGTGAAGGGCCAGCTCTCGTTGGGGTGACGTGCTGGAGACCCGTGGCAGATCCTCCAGACTCTGGGCCATACACACGCTTTAGAGGACACAAACACGCACGTTCATTCATACAGACTTTGCAAAGATGGTAAAACGTACTCACAGGTGGTTAGAATGGGGACTGAAGCCAGGACCTGCTCCTCAGCACTGGCTCTGTCGACTGCCAGCTGTGTGGTTGGGCAACTTTCTTAGCTCACCCAGGTCTGTGTTCTCATTTCTTAAACATACGTAACAAATCGTCCTTATCTCAGGATGCTGGTCAGAACTATTATAAATGACAGTGCATATGTGTGGAAGGATTAGCGCCAGAGGCGGCATTCAGTCAGTGGCAGTGGCAGCTATGACCACGGACTGTAATACGACAAGGTTGTGTGGTGTATAATTACAGCTAGTTATGTGATGATTGCCGCCTCCCGAGTGCTCCCTCCCTCCACCGGGAGTGGCTGTCAGAGAGAGGCCAGCGCAACGCGTCTTTCTCTCTCACTTCCCCACTTTTTGCCTTTCTCTCAGGGAGGCCTAGCTCGGATCACACAAGGCCAGCCCCTGGAGGTGGCTTACGGTTCCCAGGTCACCCTGAAGAACGCCTTCGGCAAGCCCGTGCCCTGCTGGCTTCATTCTCACCAGCACACCTACCCCATGATGTAAGGACAACAACCGCTGTAACTGGAAAATTATAAAATGTTCTTTTATAGTTTTGCTGTTACCAACTTTCACTTTATATGAAGAGGTTTGTGAGACAAAAAGAATTTGAGCTTAGACCTGCTTATCTGTGAGTCTTGTCGCTCCTGCCTGTAAACCAGCGGGAGGGACTTGCTGAGCTCGTCCCGGGCTGTCCCACGTTGCTTCCTGCCCGTTGCGAGCGCTGCGTAGGCTCACGCGTTCTAGCCCCTCTTAGATTTAAACGTATTGTCTGTTTTATCCTTATTTCCCCTATACACCTGGCTGGTGGTGTTTGTAGGAACCTTGGGAGAAAGGCCGACTGGCCCCTTCGCCGACCTACCTGCAGACACGTGTCTTTGTTGACTCCCTCCCGCAGATATGAGAACGGCCGAGGCAGCTCCCACCAGCAGCAGGTGACCTGCTACCCCTTCAAAGATGTCAACAACTGGTGGATCGTCAAGGACCCCGGGAGGTGCGTATAGGTCCTGCGACCCCCAGGCAGGGCTCACCTCTTTGTTTGTTTAATTCAAGTACAGCCGACAGAGCTCATGTCCTGGCCTGGTGGACAGGACGAGGCCCTCGGGCACAGCCCTGGGCCGTCTTGTCTGTCCACACGCCCTTCCACAAAGCTCTGCATTCAGCTAGGTGCTGAGAAGCCTACGGTCAGGAGGTTGGGTCATTCCGAAGTGAACTGCCTGCTCGGTTTCTCCCCCCCGTGTCTGACAGGCCTGTCCCAAACTCCCCTCCCGCCTCGGCCCTCGGCCACCACTCCCTCTCCCCTCCATGCAAAACAAGAACACCCCTCTCAAAAGCCTTTTTCTTGCTCAGGTCTCACAGATGGAGGTCTCTCTCACTCTCACACCTCACCTCCAGTCCGTCAGCCAGTCCTGTTAATTCTGCCTCCAAAGAGATCTGGAACCATCCAGGTCTCGCCCTCCCGCCTCCCGCCTCCCGCCAGCTTCAGCAGCCCCCCGAGTGGTCCTTTCAAATGTAACTTACAACAGCTCCCTTTCCTGCTCAAACCCCTTCCCAAGCTTCCACTGCCGTCAGATGGAATCCAGACCCCTCACGTGGCTGCAGGGCCCACATCACGTGGCCCCAGCCCCCTTCCTGCCACAGCGCGCCTGCCTCTGCGTTTCTCCAGCAAGGCAGACCCCTGCCCTGGGCTTTGCATGTGCCGGCCCCCAGCCTGGAGCCGTCCTACCTGCTGGCTCCTTCTGACTTATTAACACTTGAGGGTCAGCAATTCCAGAGGCCGCCTTGGTCCCCCACCCCTAGGCGCCACACCCTTCTCTCTGTCACTGTCCTCGTATCCATTGTCACACAACCGCTGACTGTCGGTTTGCTTCTTACTTGTCTACTGGCTTATCCTCTTACTGCAGTGACTTGGGGCACGGGCCACGCCTGGCTGTCCAGCCGTCCGCTCAGCACCCAGCTCAGTGTTGGGACCTAATGGGCCCTGAATACGCACTCGCTGCACAAAAATCCCGTCTGTGAGAGAAGGATTTCTGAGCACGTGCAGTATGTCTATCACTGTGGCATTTGTAGACAAAACAGCAGCTAGAATGTGATCATGGCAGGTAGAATCACGTGACCTTGGCTTCCAGAAAATAGTTCGATAGAATGCCTGTGTTTTGTATTACACAAGCTCACCTCGGATAAGGTACAGGCTGCCCGGACGTGAGCACTCGGAGCCCCTGTCACTGCGGGCGTGTGGCTGCTGGGCACCCCGGCTCGGCACCGTGCAGCCAGCCATCACTGTGTCTTCCCAGGCACCAGCTGGAGGTGAGCAACCCGCCGAGACCCGTGCGGCATGGAGACGTGGTGCAGCTGGTGCACGGCATGACCACCCGCCTCCTCAACACGTGAGTGCCGTGTGTCCCCTCCTTGCTCCTTCTAGAGTTTCCTGCAGGGTCTCTGCTCAGAGCAGCATGACCGTTGCCGCAGGTCACCCTCTTGCTTTTCTCCCTGGGGCTGGAACAGCACTTCCACTGCAGTCGATGTGGGGTGGTGGTGGCTGAGGGGTGGAAAGGAAATGGAGCCTTGGGGAGGGGACGAGGCAGCTCAGGCATCCCCCAGGGGAGGTCGGGGCGTGAGTGGGCAATGACAGGAGAGTAGTGGACGCTTGTGCACAGAATGAGGTGTGGGCACTTCCATAGGGTGCTGTCACCTAAAGTGTCAGTGTGTCCCCATAGGATGGAGACGGGGGCATAAATGGAGTCATACATGTTGGCTCTGAGCCCTTACCTGACTGACCTCTGAGCAGCCTCTGCATATCTATGTGCTCGGGGGGCCCCTCGCTGCACTGCTGCCTGCGGCATCTTCATGACCCCCACATCTGTGCCTGAATCCCAGGCCCGCCTCCCGCAAAGGCCACACTGTGCGCCCGGCTCTGCGGGCGCTAACGGGCCTCTGGCCTCTAGCCCGCTTGCCCCTGCAAAGAGCCCGGCCTCAGCCACCACCCTTGAGTCTCCTCTTCTCCTCCTCTCCCACGTTTACTCCATCGGCAAATCTTGTTGTCTCAACCTTCAAAATTGACCCCAATGCGGTGGCTCCCTTCACTCCCGCCGCCCCAGTCCAGGCCCCATTTCCTTCATCCTGTGGGGTTAGAACTGGTGCCCCTGACCCGCCCCCACCCTTCACACAGCAGCCCACAGCGCCCTTTGAAAAAACAACTACTTCCATCCCTTCCCTGCTGAAAGCCCTCCAGTGACCCCCTACAGTGTGACTGTCACACTCGGAATAACACTCCC